TTCTTCAGGCAAGAAGGTAAAAATTCTATGTTGTTTTGTTTTCTTTTATTTTTCCAAAATAACTGTGATTTTTCCCCCTTTTTTCCTTTTTTTTTCTGATCCAAAGTACTCTACAGGCTGGTAAAGTAAACATCATTTTTACATATTTGGCAGAAAGAGAGATAACTTTACAGGCTGCAGGCAGCAAAACACACTGCTTAAATTCAGGTGGCTCAAGAGCTCACACAAAGGGAGCTGGTCTTTAGTGGAACATGAATGAGGATTTTAGGGACACATCTAAAGATTCTTGCCTAAATTTCACAAACTTCTGCATCTGAAATTTCCCCAAAACCTCTCTGTCCATCCAGTAAAGTCTAATTGCCACAAGACTGATGAGTTCAGTGGGTTGTATGGGAAAGCTTTTTTGTTTGTCTCTCCAGAAGGGCTGAAGTGTGAAGGCACTTTCAGAGCACCCCTACTTACTCTGGTAGAAACAGGCTTCATATAAAGTGCTCGTGCTGCTGACCTGGGCAACCTGACACACTGAATGAGAAATGCAGGTTAATTTCCCTTCTTTACTCACATTTCCATGGCACAAGAAAAAGCCTTGAAATGTTTTCTACTGAGAGAGAGGGCAGGCAATTCTTTGACTGGATTCTAAGGCATTTCCCCTTTACACTGATCCCCACTACCAGGGAAGTTGTTTACACATCACAAACAATGATGCTATAAAAGAGAAAGGGCGGAGTGGCATTCAGATTTTGTTTTGTTAGTGGGGGTGCTGGTCTTTGCTATGAAAATATGAGCTCCTGGGTTTGGCAATGTTGTTTAGAACCTTGCAGAGAAGTCTGTACAGCTGCACACAGGCACAGCAAATAACTTGCCACTGTACAGCTTGTAACAGGCCAATGCAAATCCATGCCTGTTTATGCAGAAATAACTGGCCTGGAAGGAGGTGTAGAAGATACCAGAGGGGCTGATGCAAACTAACAAAAGCAGTCAGGAAAAATCTTTCTGGCATAAAAGTAGCATCCTGAGAGGCTAAATAGTTTGGAAAATGAACTTGGCACCATTTCGCTTGAAAAGCTGCTTTGTACTGAAATGTATTGTTTTTTAACTTAAGGCATGTGTTGTGCTACTTAGGGATGATCAGAATTGCTGTGTTGTAGGAAATTTGATTTTTCTTATGTGCTGTTTGTCCCTTTCTGTGCTGTTCAAATCAGCACAGAAACTTTTATTCTTGTATTAATGGTAATGAAAAATAAGAAAGTCACTTCTACCAATTTTCATGTGAGAGAACAGCACTATCTGTCACACTGTCTTTTTGTAGAATAGACCATGTAATTTCTACCAAGTCTATTTCCCTCTGCGTATGAGAAATTAATGTATATTGAAGCACTTTAATGGGACACAGATTGATTGAGTAAAACATGCAATGGGAATTATCACGTGCATCAGCAAAACAGGTTCCTTCTTACTTAACTTGTATGAAATACAGAATCACCATAACAGCAAGGTCTCTTACCTTCTCCACCCTATTTACTGCCTCCTCCTGTTGACTGTATCAAATATAATGGTTGTATTAAATATAATCTAATACAACCATTAATTATGACAGCTTTCAGCACAGGTTTCTTTATTATTTGATAGTTTTTGTTTTGATTTCATCTAACCTTAGCCAAAACATACTGTAAAGAGAGAACAGATCATGGATAGTTATAGAAAAGGAGTGTTCATCATTTCACACAGCCATGGAGGAAGTTTGTAATTTTTATGCGGTCTGTGGTATGCAGTGGTCTCCTCTGAAGGAAGTTATTTTCCTGGGTAGCTTCTTGCTCACAAACTGCAGTGCCAGTAATGTCATTTGCCAGACTATGTTAAAAGCTGTTGAACCATCATGCAAAGGATCTCCTGTCATCAGGGGCTCTGCACTACTAATAATGCTCAGCACAGGTGCTTTGGCTAGTGCAGATCAACAGCTGGGAACTTCCTGGAACACTTCTTTTGATCCTGTGTCATCCCTCCTTACCACTCTAAGATTATTTAAAAGTGACATTACCACTTGCTGTCCACCATGTAGATGTTCTCCAAACGCTGTGATCCTTGCAGCAGCTCCAAAAGTCTGACTGAATTATTGCACAGATTACACAGAAGGCTTTGTGGTGAGGAATCATTCATGCACTTGTTCCCACCCCATTTTAGATTAAGGAAGTTCACTAAATCCTTTTCATTGTGCCAGTAAGAAAGTTCCTTCACTAGCCTGTACCTGCCCACCCTTCCTCTGGATTTCTAGGGCAGGTCTCTAAGTAGTTCCCACTCACAAAACCATGGAGCTGGCTGCAGTGTTTGCACCTGGATGACTCCCTGGTGAGAGCCAGCTGCTTTTGCTGAAGGAGTGGCCACATCAGTGTGCCAGACACATTAAAACCTGTTCCCAGATCCTGGGCTCTCTCCAATCTTGGCACTCAGCCCTTTCCCTGCAGGGTGGGGTGGAGCCACCTTCTTCCTACTGAGTAAGATTAACTCTTTTTTTTCTCCTTGACTCGTTCTGAAGGTGGGACACACCTACAAGGTGCCTCATGCCCTACATTCACTGTGTCTGATTTCACAGCTCCATTTCAGATCTTTCAAGAGATGTGGAAGTATGGCACTACAAACTTCAGCACTGAAGATGCACTGTTTTGTTTTCAGAAGGTTGTGAATAGTAGGATATGAAGGTGGAAAAAAAAATTGTTTAATGCAATGTCTTGTTGTAAGATTACTGCATTATTGAAAGGAAAATTAAAAACATATTACATAAAAATACACTAATAGCAGAGCTAAAAGACATGTGTTCAGAATAAAGGAGATAAAACTAATCTTTGTCTGTGCAAAGAACCCTTTGGTATTTCTCATCTGTTTTGCCCATTTGCATTAGGTCTTTATGTGAAGCACTTCTGGATTCCAGAGCAAAACAAAAGTCTCAGTATGAAACATCAGTGAACTTTTCTTTCAGCATCACAGGTTCTTTCCACAGAGCATCACTCAGAAACAGGATGAAGCACTGATGGTTGCTGTTGTTAGTCAAATGGAAAGAAATGTCTGCATTTACCACATGATGTACTTTCGTATATTCATATACGTACCTTCATAAAACTTTACTTTTTCATCTTTTCCAAGCCTCTGCAGCAGTTTGTTTTAGGCTCAGTCAGTTTTCCTGTGGGCTGAGTTCATCCCCATTGTCTGGAACTTGCTGCAGGTGAAGGTGGTTTCACAGACAAATGTTGTATCTGGGCTGAGCCACATCAACTCCTAATGCCCTGGTAACTTCTGGCACCTGAGTCCCAGCTTTCCATGGAGAGTCATGCCTGGCTCATGGCTGAGCTGGAGGTAGTGTGCATGCTGCATCTTGAGAATAGTACAAGACATTTTGAGCAGCTCTTTGCATAAAGAGAAGTCTGTAAAGGTCTGTGAAGGGAGGGAGCTGTGGTAGAAGAATGGGGGCCTCAGTGGGAGGCTGACAGGAGAATTTTGGCTGGAATGGGTTGCAGGTCCCCAGCACCAGGGAACCCCTTCCCCAGAGAGCTCAGGACAACTTTCAAAGGGACAACAACAGCCCAGGGCTGGCTGTACAAGTGCCCTGCTGACAAAAGACCCTGAAGTTCAGCTTTGCACCAGCCTCTTCTGACCTTTAACCTCTGGTGACACAGACTGGAGCTCCTCATGTAACCTCACCTTGCAGGCTGCAGCTTCAGGGCAAGCAGGGCTGAGGAAGAGTGCCTGCTGTGCTGTGGCCATCTGTGGGCACTGGGGAGAACCACTTGGCTGTGCTCTTACTCCTTTTTCCAAAAGAGAGGAACTCTGGCAGCTTTCTCTGGACCTGACCCATGCTGGTCCTAGTGCAGGCTAAAAGTAGAGACAGTGAGATCTGTGACAAACAAAACATGAAGGACTTGTCTCCATACTGTGGCTGTGTATTTTGCCCTAAATAAATAATCTTTCTGGAACACAGACCAGTGCTATTTGTCCAAAATGTTTGTTTGGTAGTGAAAGTGATGTGGGGTTTTTTTGGGGTTTTTTTTGTTATTATGATTCCAGAAAATTTTGTGTGATCCTACTGGTATCTACACAGCACCTTTACACTTCTCCTAAGATTCAGGAAAGGAGTTTCTAATCACCCATCTTTTAGATGGCCTCCTCCTTGCAAGGACAGAGCTGGACTTGTTCCTAACTTGTTCTTAGTGGAGTGGATTGAATGTAAATGATCCATGGGAGGGGTATCAGACTGTAATGTTTCTAGTACAAAAGTTGAGAGTGACGTATGACTTGTCATATCACTGAGCAGGAACTTAAAGACTTCTTTTTAGGGCTCTTGGGCTATTACTTTGTTTGGCATTTTTAATTGCCCATTCTGCCTCAATCTCTGACTCCTGGAAAACTTTAGAAGTTAAAAGTGTATTTAAAACTGTTGGTGTTTCCATATGTAGACAGACAGTCTCCATAGCTGTTAATGAGTGTTTTTCATGTATGAAGACATTTAATTAATAGTGATTTTATTTTTAGAAACCTGTTGTTTGAAACCCCTTGCCACAGTTCTGATTGCCACAGATGGTTATATACAGGCTTAGTTTCTGTCACCAAGTCTCTATCACTAGTGTATGTTGTTAAGAGAAAAAGAGTTGATGCAGGTGTGAGCATCAAACCAGTGTGGAGAAGGAAAATGTTAATCCATACCTGTCTAATTTCAATACCATAAGCTGAAATAAGACGCAGCATGGGATAAAGCAGAAAAAGAGTCCTTTCTGAGGAATGTACATGTGTTGTGAGCATGAGTCCCTTTTGCAGACCCTCTGTGCCTTTTCTCCTGCTGTGCATCATAGATTGATCTGTGCAAGGCTGATTAAAAATTTCAGGATTTAGAAAATATCTATTATGTTCAACAACCAGCTATGGGACAGTCTCAGGGCAGACAGATGCTTCACAGTGTGGTCTAGTTAAGCCAGCTGCTCTAAATTTTTTAATTCTTTTGTGCTTCCACTCAGCAGCCTCTTCATGATGGACCCAATTTCTAGACCAGTTACTGAGTTTTGCCTTGATCTCTACAAAAAGCTCAACAGAAGTGCAGAGGACACAAATATTGTCTTCTCTCCTATGAGCATCTCTGTTGCCCTGGCCCTGATCCATCTTGGTGCAAAAAACAACACTGCTGCTCAGATAGAAAAGGTGAGTATGAATGAACCATGGTGAGGTGCTGCCACACTGCTTGCTGTTCCCTCAAAGGAAATGTTGGGCAGCCCAGCACGGCACACATGTGAGTGCCTCACAGGAAAGCTGCACAAGGGCAGGCACAGGTGCTGCCTTTGCAGCTGTGCTTGGAGCACTGTGATCCCTGCCATCTGCTGGTGTGGGTCCCATCACACCCCCTGCACGAGCACAGAGCAAGGGCTGACTGAGGGGAAGGGATACAGCACAGTGGGCTGCTCTGGCTTTCCCCAAGCCTGTGGCAGAATACTGGGCTTTATTTCAGAATTATGGGAGGCATTTCCTCTTGTGGCTGGTATGAGAATCCTAAGAATGGGAGTCTGGTGGGCAGTGCTGCAGACACCTGAAGGAGTTTCACCTGGGTGGCTGAAAGCATTAATTCACATATCCCTTATGACATTCAAGAGTCAAAATGTCTCACCCCACAGAGACCCAGGTGGGCAAGGAGGAAGTGAAGAAGGCCACCCCTCCAGTCACTGTGCCTTTACTTCCTGCAGCGCAAGTTCTGCTTTCTACAACCTTTCTTCTCTTTTCTTTTTTTCTTTCTCCTCTCTACCATAAGTGTTGAAGACCAATAATCCTAAGGCAGAGCTTCTCACTGGGGTGTGGTGGGTTGTCCATTGCTGTGGCTGCCAGATGCCCACCCAGACACTCTGAGTCTGTTGTCTTTGCACAGAGACCACCCCTACAGCCTCCTGGCTACCATAACCCTGCCACATCAATACTTTAGGCAGGGACTCCTGCTTATTTTAGAAAAGCAATGGGAATTGCTCCATATCAGTATCCTCTAAAAAACATGAGTAAGTCTGATAGCAAAAGGGTTTTAAAATCATGGGGATCTGGGGAGTTAGAAGGAAAATTAAGCTTAGTAGGCCCTAGGAAAATACCCTGGGAAAGTATAGACCTTGTACTTGCTAGAACTGCACCTGTGTAGCTAGTATATGATAAATGATATAATTGTTAGATGTGATGATTGTTTAGCAATTAAATATAATTACTGTTTAATCACAAGAATAATAATGAGAAACTGTAGTCAGGGGCTTGAAAAAGATCATGAGAAACTCATGGTTGAATAAGATCAATGTATACAATAGAAAAACATAAGTTTAATTATTAATATGTAAGTTATATAATGATAGAATATAAAATATGTTCAGCTTGCAAGTCATGTTGGAGTCAGACTTGGGTCTGTACTCCTGATTCACAGAGCTCTACAATAAAAGCACCTGCATATAATCATATTCTGTGATTATGTGTGTTCCTGAATGCTAACAAGTCTATGTGTGATGCAACATTATTGTAATAGAAAAACTGCTGAAAATTTTTCAGTGATGTATTTGCACAGTAGAAACAAGGACTGGTTTCCATTAAGAGCACTGTGATTTTGATTTCTTAACCTGATGCTAATGTTAAGAATGATTGCAAGAAGCCATTTTTGATGTTTTTAAAGAAAATTAATTTTGTCTCTTTACTTGGGGCAACTTTTTGTTTTGAAATTTAAGATAACTGTAGCAATGAAAACACAGATCAAATATAAACATTTTGAGGTAGTGAAGAGTAACATTTTGAGGGATTAAGTGCAAGTTCTTCTTGGTTTGTTAATATAGAAAAGTGAGTCTGAACATGAAGTATGAACAAGTTCAAGTCTGTCATTTCAGCTGATGAGGGAAGGTGGTAAAACATCTTTCATGAATCTACAGCACTTATCCAACAGGGCACAGCAGAGCTTTTAAACAAGGAATATGGTTTTATCCCAGTTACAATTGACATAAATTGACATCTTCACCTGCAGGTGCTCCATGTCAGGAAAGCTGCAGGAAGAATGAGTCTTGGATCTGATCACGAGAGTGCAGCTCCAGAAGTGGAGCCAGAAGGAAGCCTGGAGAGTCAGCCTTCCTTATCACAGGTGTGTCCTCAGGTGGGGAGCCTTCACTGCGTGGCAGGCTAGTGTGGGTAAAAATCTAGGGTTTGCCACTGGAGGGAGTCAAAATTACATGCTCAGCATCTGCCTAACCCTCTAGGAAATGGCTGGTACAAGGTTTTATTTTATTAAGGGCCAGTAGATCAATAACAAAGCCTTCAGTGATCTCATCTGAAGAAGGATCAGGCTACAAAGCTTGGACTAGCTGGATTTAAAAATGCTTATAATGTTATCTAATCAAGATGCAAATTAGCAACCAAAGGTGTACAGAGGAATAATTTTAATTGTTGTGTTTGTGCTACTCCCAGTGTAACAAGGAGGGAGACCTTAACCATAAAGTGTTCCAGGAGCTGCTTTTGCAACTACAAAACCTTGGTGAAAAATATGTTTTAGCCTTGGCCAACAATCTCTTTATACAACAAGGATTTGAGCTCCAGCAGGTAAGTCACCTGCTAACTGCTGTGGCCACAACCTCAAGCTTCCCTGTAACTGTGAACCTCACTGTTGCCCCTCTTGTGTGTGTTTTGGAGCACATGATGTACTACATGGAGTTACAGCTCTTGAGGCTGGTAGGAAAGAGACAAGACTGTCAACTTTCCATGCTTTTATTTAAAAAAACCCAAAAAACAAAAATCACAAAACCCCCCTAAAACAAACAAGCAAAAAAACAGAAGAAACAAAACCAACAACAACAACAAAAAGCCAAACAGAAACATACCGCCCAGGTTATAGAGCAAAAATAAAGCAGGGATCTGTTAATTTTTGGCACATTTTTCATATGTGTGCACTCAGCCAGAGAAGAACCTATTCTAGCTGTCTGTAAACTACCTACTTCAGGTCTTGCAAGTGGGACAGCTGAGGCAGCAGTAAGCTTGGAGAGGGTTTATCTCCAGGAAGGTTGTACAGGTTCATGCACAGGACTGCTTTGCTGAAGTTCTTGCTCCTTTCCTACAGAATGACTGAGTGGTCTTGAGACTACTTGGTATGGCTAACTTGTTAGTCACATCTTTGCTTTTCTGTCAATTATTGCAATACTTAGGCATCAAACAACTCGTCTTGAATTTTTTCTGTTTCTTTAATGCACTTCTCCATGACAAGACTCATTATTCTGGTTTTCTTTTTACTTATTTACATTTTTAACCTATGCATTAGAATATCTTTTTCAAAGATCCTCTGAATAAACTTCAGATACTTCACATTTCCAAAATGAAATTTTGAACCTTACAGATTCAACAGGTCCCTCCCCATTTCTAAAATCATATCAAGAGATTGATTTCTTTCAAAAGGCAGTAAGTGCTTAATTGATTTGACCAATTAATAATCTTTATTTTTGCTTTACAGCAATTTCTAATGTGTAGCAAGGAACTATATGGGGCAATGCTGCAAACAGTGGACTTTCATGGTGCTGTTGAAGCTGCCAGAAGAAAAATTAACGCTTGGGTTGAAAGTGAGACACAAGGTAAAACAAAGCAAAACTATAGCCATTCTATCCCTGCCTTCCTACATGGGTTCAACAAATGAAATTCCAGGGTAGGAAAAGCAAAGACCTGTTTACATTTCTGTGTGTTCACTCTTATGCTGCTTAAGGGTAGTTTGTCTTCCCATCTGCTCTTGAAATATTAGAGTAAATTACTGGCTAAATTATTTATGAGTTAAAGATATGTTTGCTGTAAAATATTTTTTATTCCCACCCTTATGGCTGGCCTGAGAATTGCAGTAATTACTCTTAAGTCTTGATCAGACAAACTGTTGCTGCAAACAGCCATAAATGCAGATTCATAACACCAGGGGATAATTTGGTAACCCCCATTCTCCCTGGCTGTTAACAGGGCAGATGAATCTCCTTAAACAATTAGGAAATTTGTTTACCTATATTGTTTTTGTCCTTTGAATAAACTGAGAACTGTGTTTCTAAGTTTTTGCAAAACTAAGTTCACTGACCAATAATAGAGTCTCAGTCCAGAGCCTTAATGACAGCTAATAAATACTTCTGTGTTTCAAAATTCCCTTTAGGTAAAATCAAGGAACTCTTTGCACCTGGTGTGATTGATGGACATGCACTGCTGGTGCTTGTGAATGTAATCTACTTTAAAGCATCCTGGGAACGCAAATTTGAGGAAGAAAAAACAGTTCAGAGGGATTTTAAACTGAATCAGGTACAGCTGCATTCTGTAAATCTTAACACTATTCACCTTAGATACTTGTGAGCATTGCAGCAAGCATAACAATGTCCAGGGCTGAGCTGCCCTGTGTGTAAGCTGTGGGTACGTTGGGAATTTAAGTTGCCTCCTCTGTTGGGCAGAGGTGTTGGTAAGAGCTGTATTGTCTAACTGACTATGTAATTTTCTTTTCAACAGAACAGAAAGAAACCTGTGCAGATGATGTATCAGAAAGGCAAATTTAAACTGGGCTACATTGAGGAGGTGGGTGCTCAGATCCTTGAACTCCCTTATGCTCAGAAGTCACTGAGCATGATCATCCTGCTGCCAGGGGATGTGGCTGATGGATCTGTCAGTGGGCTGGAGCAGGTAAGGCAGTACGTGTTATAGACTAGGGCTGGAAGCCAGTTGTCTGAATTAACACTGGGTAAAGATTTCAATTTTTCAAAGCTTCCCACCTATTTTAATCTCCTTTTCCCCCCTATCTTATAGATTGAATGCACAATCACCTATGAAAATTTAATGCTGTGGGCCTCCTCAGAGAACATGTTTGAAACCACAGTGGAGGTTTACCTGCCCCGATTCAAGCTGGAAGGCACCTTTAACCTCAACGAGGTTTTACAAGAGATGGGGATGACCGACATCTTCACTGAATCAAAAGTTGACCTTTCTGCCATGACGTTTGCAAAATCTCTGGTGCTGTCAAACGTTGTCCACAAGGCTTATGTGGAAGTCAATGAGGAAGGCACCGTGGCAGCAGCTGGCACAGGAGCTTCCATTGTGAGGAGGTCTCTGCCTCTCACAGAGGTGTTCATGGCTAATCACCCTTTCTTGTTCTTTATTAGACACAATCCTACCAGTACTATACTTTTCTTTGGCAAACTCTGTTCACCTTAAAATCAGGGCCGTTTTCTAACACTGTGAGGAACACCTGGATGAAAAGCAGAAATCGTATTTTTCTCCCAAATGCTTTCTTAATCCTTTGATATCTAGTTTGCACTTCAAAATAATCACTGCAGCCAGTTTTGTTTAGTACCTATGAATCGAATGCTCTGCCACTAGGCTCCTTGAAATTTTGATATTGATCTGAACCCAGAATCGAGTAAATTTTACATTAAGCTCACTAGATATGAATAACACTTTGTTTCCTTGATGTGCACATGTGCTTATGGTGACAGTAGGGTTGAGGTGGGAGGGGACCTCTGGAGGTTATCTGGTTCCCCTCCCCTGCATGAGCAGGGCCATCTACAGCTGGTCGCCCAAGACTGAGTCCAAATTCCTTTTGGATGCCTCCAAAGATGGAGACTCCACCACCTGTCTGGACAACTCTCCTAAGTCTGTGTTAAGTTCTCAAATAACTCCAAAGAGAATTTTGTATGCATGGTGTCTGCAGGAACAGGATACAAGCCCATGTATTTCTAAAGATGGTTAATTATTTACATAGTATAGAAGTCTGTCTTTTATATGGGGAGAAATCAAACTATTTGTCTTAAGGTTTCAAAGAACAGGAAGAAAATGCATCCCGCTGAAGTTACCAATGTGGAACACTGTAGTAATGAATTTCCAAGAAATGTGTTTTCCTTTTCCCCTGTTGCTGAGTCGTGAATTTAGGAGTTCTGAGATGCAAGTCTGAGAGACAGAGCTCTCCATGCTTTGAAGAATGAGGAAAGGCTTTTTAAAGTGCAATGTAAATCATGGAAATCACAGTTAAACATTACCTGGGAATGCTTTTGGGAGAAAAATTAAATTTCTTTCCAGCTGACAGAGAGACATTACTGATGATTTCCTGGTTTAACATAAGTGACGTCTTCCTCAGAGGGATGAGGTTTGATAAATTAACATGTGCTTTTAAAATTTATATATAATGGAGAATCAGTGAATAGCATGTTTAATGCGCAGAATTATATATTCAGGAAGAAGATACATTAAAAATGGCACATCTCTCCAAATAGAATATAGTCTGGCTTTAAACTTGTACCTCCAAAAAGCCATCTGAAAGAAAACTTCCCTAATCCAAAATGTGTAGGCATTTTGTTTTCTCCTTTTGTAAATTTTCTAGCAGCCAGCATTTTCCTTTGCTTGCTCTGAACTATCTTGATGTGAGCAATTGGATGCTTTGCCCATGTTGAAATTCAGGAGCAAGGTAAGATGAGGTGTAAATTCCTGGAGAACATCTAGTGAATGGATTCAAAGCAGACCTTGAGAAAGCTGCTCAGAGAGGTCTCCTGAAAAACCCCATTTCAATGACTAATTTTTTTTTTCTGTTTTTTTTAAAATTCAGAATAGTACCTAACTTCTGTAGTGGAAAAAATCATGTTGCCCAGGAGGTGAAGGGCCTGTATCCCATATCCTTGCTGAAATTCAAGCCTGCAGCTCTCAAGAGAATGCACCAAGTGCTCTCAGGCACTAGGCTTTAGCATAGGCTGTAGGGCAAAACTGCCCACCTTCATTTTGAAGTTCTTACATGAGGGGGTGCAGCTCAAAGGCACCAGAAGAGAATTCCAGGACTGGATAATTTTGCAGTTCAATAACTGCATTATAGATTAGTTCTGGTTTCCAGGGTCTGGTGTCATTCCTGTTTTAGTCCAGCAATAAAGGAAAAAATTATCTGTATGTGGGTGTCTATTTTAACTAGAATGCTATGGAAGAATTTTTTTCTGTATTTTTCGAATAGCATGATTTTTTCTTCACTTTCTTAATATCTGCCTAGAAAAAACATAATAAATGAAGTAGGTCAGCTGTGAGCTTCCTCTCAGCCCTTCAGAGAGTGCTGCTATGCAGCTTTTTCATCTGAATCCTCGGGCATGAAATTAGATATTCTTAGTTATGGGATGGTGAGTCACAGCTTTTGTGTAAGAGCACTGCCACCTACACATCTCCAAGATTATTTTGCAATCCTCCCTCACTTGAGTGCTACAGTTTGGCAACAGAGTCCAGCTTTTCCACACACTTACTGACAGTTTTAAACATGCTGGAAAATCATCCCCAAAGGACCTCTCTCGCCAATCCTGATGGATGCCTTATTTTCTTGTGCAATGCCTCATGAGGCAGGTAGCGTTTGGCACAGCCCTATTTGCAGCTTGCAACCTCACAGCACCAGCTCTGTCTCCACTCATACCCTGACAGCTCCTTTTCCAAGAGACCCCCACTGAAGCCCACTCTGCTGCCTCTCACTTCTTTCCCCTGCAATCTGTCAGCACGAAGCTGTCCCAAAAGTGGGCCAGCAATGACCAGTCCTGCCTTTTCCACAGCCTTCAGCTTGTCCAGTGAGGAATCATCTTACTAAATTGTAGTGGGACAACCACTGTGGGGAAAGGCTTTCTCAAACTAGAGTTTCATAACAGGAAAAGTCTCCTCAGTCTTTTTTTCAGATTATATTCATGCAATCATTGCATGTTATTTAGTGGGGACTTAGCTGCATTTTGCTCGATGGGTTTAACTGCTGGTCTTCTGTGAGAAATGCAATATTCTGCCCAGAGCAGTGCTGAGCACAGTGCCTGTTGGCCTAAAATACCTATATTTTAGGTTTTTTGATTTTGTTTGTGTGTTTTGTTTTGCTCAGCCCACAGCCACTCTCCAGACACCAGGAGGAAACACTGTGAAAAAACTGACTGCTGCTTGTGATGCAGAGCAGCATGGTTGAAGGTTGAGTGCTTTGGTAGAGTGGAGCTATTTCCTTGCTCATGAATGATGATGAATATGAAAGATCCTGAAAGACATGCCCAGGGGCTTTTGGTGTATCTCTTGTACCCCAGACAGGAACGACTCCACTTTGCTGCCTTATTTGCTTGTTGCTTGGTGCAAACCTTCCAGAGGTGCAGACTGACAACGACTGTGGAGCTCAACAAAAGCCTCAGGAGGCCAACATACATTTCAAGCCATAATCATTGATGCCTCAAGCTCCCCACACTGTTCTGCTGAAACATGTGGGCTAGGCCTAGGGTGCAGGAAATCAGATCCATAGCTGGAGTACAGCAGCAAATATCCAGAACTAAGAACCTCAGCTATGCTCTCATACCAGTGTCTAACTTCCTCTGGTGTTGTGGGAAAAATCCACATCCAGTATGATGTACTTCAGTGAGCCACAGTGTCTGAAGCTTGGTCAGAGCTTCTAAACCATGTAGCAGTTTTTGCAAAGAACCCAGGATGTTGACTGCATGACTGTGTTTTACACAGAGTATAGCCTTTAGAAAAATAAAAAGGAGGAGATTAAAGTGACTGTGGAGCTAGCTGGAGCAGATAGGGGAAGAGTTTTCTTTGTGGAAGTCAATGAAGAAGGAGCTGAGGCAGCTGCTGCTACAGGGGTGACCAAAAGAATGCTTTGCCTCCACAATTCCTCATGAGTTCAGAGCTGACCGTCGTTCCTCTTATTGATCAAACATAATCCAAGCAAGAACGTTCTCTACTTTGGCTGATGTTGTTCCCCCTAAGGGTAGAGCAGGTTCTGCTTCTTTCTGCACAAAGAGAGCACAATACTGTGGTAAAAAGGAGTAAGGCATGAATAACATGTTGCTATCAAGTTCCACTGACATTTCCTGATATCTATATTCTTGAACCCAAGAAAAAACACCACATTGTTTCAGCAAGACAACTGGAAAAATTATAATGGCCTTTCATGTTTAGAGCTCTTCTCAAACCAGTGAACACACTTAATGGAGCTTATTTAATTATTGTTTCACTCTTAGCCTTGAAGACTCCTATTGCAGTGGGGTTGTCTAAAGAGTTGGATGATGTGCTATATAAATCAGAAATCCAGCATGATGCCTTCTCTCCTCAGCCACATGAGAAGGTTGATGGTGGGACCACACTCCAAGAGGTGCTGCAGGCCTCTGTCCCCAGCCACCAGGTCCCAAGCCGGAGACAGGTCAGTGTTGAATCCCCCACTTTACTGCCACATGTCTCCAGGAACTCCATCTCCAGTGCCTAAACACCACCATGAGGGAAGGCCCTTGGCTGCCATGAAGGCAGTGAAACCCACAGGTCATATTCACGTCCTGAGGGAGACTCCATGCAGATGTTGGGTATGGAGATATGTAGAGATTTGTCCCACATTCTTCTCCTCAGATACTCTTTCCAGGCCCTCTCTTTGGAAGTAGTAAAGTGTGGCAGCAATAAAAGTATTCAAAGCATTTACTTGGTATGGCTTTTTGAACTTTGATTTGAAAGTTGCCTTAGGCACTCAATCTTTTGAACCTCTGCCATGTCTTGTCTCTTGCCTGTTGTATTTCGTCCATGAACTACAAGCACAGCAAGGTGTAATTTACCATACCAAGAACTTGAATATCTCTCACCTTAATTTCTCTGACCTGTCATTCTGAAAATAATAATGAATGCAAAAGGTAGGGTTTACTTGGTATCACAAAAAATTTTCTAAGAAAATTATTTTCCAGTGCTCTGGTGTTGGACATGTGTCTGAAAAACTGTGGTCCTTGTAGATCATGAGGTGTTTGGCCTTGGAGGAAGATTGTTCTCAGTCTATAATTTCTCACTCTGCCAGTTCTATGACCCTCTGCCTGATGAGTGGGAAACACTTACTGTACAACACAGATGTGACCACTGAAGGGAAAGTATTTCTCGATCCAGAATTCCATAATGGATGAAAGCCCCTCTAAAATACTATATTAATTTCAGAATATATTAGTGCAATTGTCTCGTGTCTGCACTGGGGTGCACTGAGTGGGACTAGGATGGAGCTGACTGTGTTCATAGCAGCCTGTATGGTGGCCTTTTGGGATTTCTGGCTAAAACAGTGTTGATATATTTTGGCCATTGCTAAACTGTACTGCAAAAGCAATTCTGGTCTAATTCTGGTCTTATTCTGCCTACACATTTTTTTGCAACTATACAAAATGTGTTTATAAGCTATTAAAACATTAGTGAACATGTATTGGTGGAGTTATGATAGATTTGCACTCATGTCTGAGAACAGAATTCAGTCTAGCTGAGCAGGAAGAAAAAAGGGCCATCTTGAAGTCTTGATTTAGAAATGAATACACAGAGTTTTGTTTGTCCACGTGGCACAAAAGAAGACAAAGGGAGAATATATTTATAGGTACATCCTGTTTCTGGTTTGCAAATACAGGAGGAAAAAATTAACCACATCTTAAATATACAGTAGACTTCAGCTCTGTGAATGAAGATGCAGGAGGCTTTCCCAAATCTCAAATGAGAAGGCTTGCTGGCAGGGTCAGAGTTTTGAAGTCACCCCACAGGCATTTGATGGTGTTCCAGATCCTGTTTGCCTCCCATAGCTTACTGGTAATGTTTATTTTGCACAAAAAAAAAAAAAAAAAAAAAAAAAAAAAAAAAAAAAATAAGAAAAGGGCCAAATGGCACCAGGGGGTCTCTGTTCCACTGGCACACAGAGACTTGCAAAGGAAATGTTGTGTCATGATTTCTCACACACCCTCCATGTCCATTCATCAGCATGTTGTAGTTAGATACCTGCCTTCATCTGGAATAATGTGAGGCTCTAATGTGTGTGAATTTCACTTGGGTGTCCCAGGCCAAGCACCAAAGCTATTGAACATCATGTTCTGTCAAGACATTCTTGTTTGCATCCAGTGGTTACTCAAGACTCAAGAACACAATAGCAGGAACTACTTTACATGTTCTGCACAAAGTAGTGGTTCTTGGAAGCATAATGCTTTTAAATCAAGTTTTCTTAAATATCTTATTCTGTGCAGTAAAAGTACCTTGTTTTATGAAGGATGTTGGTAAGTGATGCTGGTCGCAGGTTCTCCATTAGATTATATATAAATGTTTACAACCAGCCAAGAATCTGGGAACCATAAGATTATGTGTCTGGATTACAGGCAGGCTAGAAGAGAAAAGGGCTGTCAAATTTTATCCAGGATAATATGAGAGCAAAAACTCAATGGTAAAAATCAGTGGAACTGAGGAAAAGCAGAAATGTAAAGAGATATAGAAAACTTATTTTCAGGACAGTTCACTAGTCCTTGATTACCCCAGGCATGTAGGAATTTGAATTGCAGAATGAAGAAATGATATATTGTACAAATTCCATGGCAGTATGTGGAAAACATACCATTTACACATCTGTATTATTCTGTGGCCTGAAGAGGAACCTTTTTCCATGGAAACAAGTTCTCTTTTCACACCTCAATTGGAGCTGAATCCGCTTACATTGGCTGAAAATTTGATTCTGTGTTTTCAAATTATTCACCTGCCTGTGTCTCACAGTTTAGGAAGGGTATTTTCAAATCTCATTTTGTTTTCAAAACTCAAGTTACTAAAAAATTACATCCACAGTATTGGCAAACAAGCTCAATTTCTGCACCTATGATGCATCTGACTTCACTGGCTGTAAGGATTGGCAAGAATTTCCACACTGCAAATAATATATGGGACTACTGAGCCACAGCATAATTTGACTAGCTGTGGAAATCATACCACAAAGATTGTCACAGGAATGAGGAAGAACAATTATTTTTAACATCCAGACTGATGGCCAAAAGCAATAAGTTTCTCCTCAGAAAGGTGAAGATTATACAGCGTGCTATGAGGCTGAGCAGCCCTGTAGGGTGTTTCAGGTTTCCAAGTCCATAATTTGGTAAAGTAGCTCAGTAGCTAACAATACCCACAGGTTTTGGGTAGTGTGATTAGTGTAATGTTAAATTCCTGGTTATGAGTACAACTACAATAATTACATTTTATTACCAGGGAGACACTCCCAAATACTACATCTTGTACAAAAGAGAAATTGACTAATAAGTATTTGAACAACTTAGTCAGTAACACAAATCAAAGTTTAAATATAACTGAATGCAACTGTTTTAATTTACAGTCAGGATAACTTAGGACAAAGTTGAGTTAAAACTTCAGGAATAAGGAAGAACAGAAATGTAACAGAGATTTGAAAACACTTTGTCCAGAAGCTTCAAAAACAGGTTCAACAAACACTTATCAATTGCAATCTAGATCTTTCATCCACTTTAGGGCAGAAGATGTACCAGGAATCTCAAAGATCCTTCCAGCCACAGTTCTGTCATTTCTAGCCAAAGTTAACAACAACAGCTCCATTGCATGAAATTATGTTATCTTTTTCACTGTCTAAGCAATATAGGAAAACAGCCTCTTTTTTAAAATGCAAAGGAAATTTCCTTCTTTCTACTGCCTTCCACAATGATGAATGACAAGGAAAAGTATGCACTGAGGCAGAGCAAAGAGAAGAAGGCTTATAGACATTCTGTATCACAGAGCTTTAAAAAATGCTGCCCTTGCTATTAAGGTAAAGAAACCCGGCTTATAAAATAACTTAAATTGCCACAAAGAAATGATATCCAGAAATACTATAAATGAGATATTGCTATTAAGGTAAAGAAACCTGGCTTATAAAATGACTTAAATTGCCACAAAGAAATGATATTCAGAAATACTATAAATGAGATCACTCACAAAGCCTGAATCAGCATTATAAAACGGGGTCATCATGCAGAAATATTTATCTGTGTGGTCATATCACCTTACACTATGGAAGTCTGTTAAGAAGACATACAGAGACATCCCTGCCTACAAATGTAATTTCCTGTTAGTCAAAGCTCGTGAACAAGTGAGAAAGGGCATGAGCAGAGAAGGTACAACAGGCAGAACTGGCTGTATTGCTAGAGCTATTTTTGGATGCTGGTAAGTAAAACAAAGATGAAGAGTATTTTGTGTCATGTCTAAATTTCACTGGGGAGTGAATGGGGTTTATTGCAATTGTGTACAAGTTTCTGGTGCACAAAGAAGTTCAGTTGGAAAAACAACAGTGCTGGTCTCAGCTTTTCCTTGGCAAGTTGAATGGCCGGCATGAGGTGGCTGGGGTCTCTGAAAGTTCACACTCATCAATTCTTGTACCTTGTTGCCAATAAATTCAGTACTAGAGTCAGCACTCAGCAGTGCTATTTATAAGCTGTTTCAATTTGTTCTTGACTCATACAACCTGAAGATCACATAAATTAATATCAGAATCCCCTCATGTGATGCTTCCCAAATGAGCTGAGACCATCAGCAACATCTGAAGTAACTCCAGCTTCCTCAAATTCAAGAGGTATGTTCCTGTCATGCTAAAGTTTCTGTTGATCACCACAGATACTTTATCATAATAATTGCTCTGATATATTGTATAAGACTTGTTATTTGTTGTAGCAGATGTCTGACAAACAGGGAGGGGGGCCCTCTTGGCCAGTGAAAATCAAAGGAGTCCTTGTTTTATTCTTACTATTCAGCAACTCCACTTATCTAATGGTACCTTTACTCACAGGCAACCTCAGACAAATCAGGTACTCTGTAATTACCACCTGAGCAGGGTGGTAGCAGAACGTGCATTTTGTAAGATGAAAGGGACAAGACAAGCCTTTGCTGTCAAACTTGAGATAAGTTCTTTGACAAGAATCTGCTCCCCTGCTAGGTCCTGCAGACACTGACAGCAAGGGAAGCATATGGCTGCAAACAGTGAGGAAAAAGGGAGAACTGTAGACATCCAAGTTTCTTGCATTCTCTTGAAGCAAAGAATAATCACAAGAAATATGCTGGTGGTCTGTTCTGCTACTGAGTGAGTCATTGCTTCTCGCTGTGAGGTTGTGTTCTGCTGATTGACATCAGCTGGATCTTTGTTCCTTGCTTTGGCCTTCCTATGCTTATCTCATCCATGTAATCAGAACTCTTTGTGGTTTAAAAATCATATAGAGAAGTCTTCATTCCCTTGGTCTTGGCTCCAAGGCCATCAGAAACATTAAAAAAATGTTGCTGGAAAGTGAAGTAAAATGTTGAGACTTTCAGCCAAAATAACTGCAAACAGATAAATGGTGCTGGGCAAAACTTATCCCTAAGGATGTAGCACTATTTACAGTCATATCTAAATGTGTGGAAATTTAGGTGTAGAAAGCAGGTCAGTCTGCAATCCATTCCTCTGTGCCTTAAAGCTACTTTTACTATGACAAGCATCTGACCACTAGCTAAAAGGGCAGAAATTTGCATTCTTGACAGAGTAGTTTAACTATCTGAAACAAATTGTGTCAGTGCCTTTGTACTTGCAGTGCTTTTACATCTTCACCTTCCTTTCCACACAACAGCATCTCAGCAGCTGCTTCTCTGTAACCTTTAGAAAAAGTCCTCCTGCTGTTTATCCTTTCCTTTTAGCAAGGTTATCAATGGAAAGGAATAAAGAGAGTCTCCTGATTCTGCGAATACTGTGACTATCTTCAATCCTCATAGCTTTTCTCTGGCCTGCAATGAACCTCTGCATTATTCAAAGAGCAAGGATAGAGTCACAGATCTGGAAAATGCGGTGCAAGTCCAGCCCTCTGTTCAACAGCAGGATGAGCTGTGTCTTTGCCTTCCCCAGCAAGCATTTGCATAGTGAGTCTCCTCAAAACCTACAGTTCAGGAGATCCTTCAATCTGCTTGAACAAAAACTCCTGGATTTCTCAGACATTCCCATTAAAAAGCTATCTCTGTCTAAGCCACACTCTAACCTACACTAAACTATCCTAGAAGAGAGCAAAATAGCAAAGCAGGAGACCAGAAGAACAACAGAGAATGTTCCTTTCTAGGAATAAAGACCTGTCCAACTCCATTGTCTGTAATATGACCACTAACAAAAAATAATTCATGTGAAAAAAATATCCACCAAATAGAAAAATGGAGCCATAGTTAACCTTCAGATCAATTAAAAATGAATTAAGAACAGAAGTACCTACAAAACCAGAGAAATATCTAACAATGTTGAAGAAATCTGGATAAACCTGTTCACTTAAGACAGTTAAGACAGTTAAAAGTATTAGAAAACTAAGCAGGGGCTAAGAGAATGTTTCACTCTGAGAGCATATTAGATAACCTGAACTTTGCATTAACATATTCCTACACAAAAGAATGCATTTTAAAGGTACTTGTGGCTTTTAGCATGTACTCCTGTGCCCAAAGGCCAAGAATTATTGTGCTTCGGAATTGCAATTTTTCATTCACTGTATTAATTTGGATTAAAAATTCCCAGTGTTCCTGAAAGACAAATACTTGTTTGTGTCTTGCTGTTCAAAACCCCTCTAATTTCTGTTCTGGGAGACACCTGGATGCTACCCTGACTTAAAACTGTTACATCTTGTAGCTCCTACCTGTATACTTACCCCCACTTATATTCCACAACATTTTTCCTCCAACTGTGCCTGGTGCCCAAAATAAGACTGCAGAGAACAGCCTATGTCCACAAGAAAGGGAACAGCATCTGCCCAGTTCTGCTCTGCAGCTCCCTGTCCATGGCAGTGGTGAGTGTTGGGGAATCCATTCCATGCAGGTAGCTCAGGGTGCAGCTGCAGACTGAGCTCTGGGTGGAAGCCCCAGCACGGGGCTGTGAAATTCCCAACCAGTGCAGAACAGAGGGCCCAGGGAGCTGTGGCCTGGCCAGGGAACCAGACACTTGGAGACACAGCAGGAGCCAAGGACCTTGGGCTTTCCCACACTTAGGTTGTGAGGGTATAAAAGCCCAAGGTGTCCTTTCTTTGGGGTCCCTCCTTGGAGGCACCAGCTCGAGCTGATATTTTGTTATTGTACCATGATTAAATTATTTCAAGGATTAAGGTGTCTGAGGCTCTGTGATGGTAAGGAAATCTGGTGTGACTGTGGGTGTGGGGGATGCAGCTCTGAAGTGGCCTTGATCCCCACTTGGAACAGTGCAGATGTGACTACTGAAGTGGCTCCTGAGAGTTTAGCACTGAGAAACAGGATCAGTAGGTGGGTTTTTAGGTGACTGTGTGGAGAGCAGCCAGAAACCAGGAAAACAAGCCAGATGCTTATTTGGGAAATTTTCTTGCCCCAGTGTTAAGCAAGTTAAACCAGACTGCATAGCTTCAGGCAAAATCTGTGCAGGTCTGACTCTTGTTCTCAGGGGTTGAATGAACAGTGTGTTTTAAATTTCTATTTCCTCCCAAGAAATAGCTATGAGAAAATTCAAACTGAAAGGGAGTTAAACCCCATGAGTACTTTATGACTTATAGGAAACTGCCTTCAGAGTTTCCTAAATAACAGAGTATCTGGTTGGGTTGATGTGTAAATATATCTCAGTAGTGATAACTAAGTACTTGTTACAAAACTGTGTTGTTAGTGTTTGCATACACTCATACAAATACTTGCCCACCCACACACCATATCAACCTGAACGTGAAGAAAGATCATTTGTCAGGAAAATAACACCAGAAATATACTACTTGTTATAAATAGGTTGCTCTGTCCCTGCTGCCTATGCCTTGCTGAAGCAATATAAGACAGTGATCAGGTGTCCTCAGAGACACTGACAAAAATGAGGAGTAATGGGAAGTTCTGGGCTAAACTTAGGATATAGTTTAGCCCAGGACTAAACCTGCGAGTTATAGCAGTATAATTGTTTCTACTACAAAAACTGTATGTTGCCTTCAATGGTGCCACTTCTTATGTTAAAAAACAACAAAACTCTTAGAATTAATTATTTACAGGTGAAAAACCCCTCTGAAAATGTCTTTGTTTCTAGGAGTTTGCTTTCTTTTTTTTATAACTACTTAGTTTTTGGGTCTTTTTTTTGGGGGGGTTTTCTTTTGGTTTTTTTTACATCTTAGTATGCATTTAAAATCGTGACTTCTTTCTGAACTCCTACGGATATGGAAAAATTCAAGATCCCACAACAGGTCCCCTAATTATTCTAACTGGTTGCAACAGATAGGAATGTGATTCATCACGAGTGAAATTTATGATGCCACTGGGAGTGGCAATGGTTTTATATCCCATTGCTCCAGAAGTTCCGTCAAGAAGCTTGAGTGTCAAGTTGACACCATCAGTACTGAGGAGAAGGTAAATATCTCCATGATCTTTAATTCTAAATGACAGAACTAGGATCTGAGAATCAATTTGTGCATTAGTAATATATATACCTCCTTTGCACTTATATATGGCATGTGACATATTTTGAAGTGGCAATGTTTTGGATTATGTTAAAATGTATGGGCTATGTAATGAATCTGTGCTTAACTTGTACAATAATACTTCTAAACTTCTACTTTCCAAGTGCGCTTCTAAAACTACTTGCCACTTCTTCTGTATGACCCAGACTGGTAATTTATAAGAACATAGTCTTTCTGTAGTGTTCTATCTTTGAAATATTTATATGGATACTTTATTCTTCTTGTGTAATAGGGGAAATATGCTTACTACATGTGTGGAGGAAATTAGCCAGACTCAGTAAGAATCAAACCAAATGTGACTTAGAATAGTGGAACTTCTAAAATACTGAACTTATGATCAGATGTTTCTGCAACACTTCTCTGGATGCAGACACTACATCTTTAAGTCTTTAATGAGACAGGAACTCTGTTCAAGGTCTAAGTTATGAAGAGTTTTACAGAACATTCAAGATGATCTGTTTGTAATAATTGTGATTGTAACTGAAGGGTATCTGGGAAAAAGAGTTAAAGCTGCAGGAAAAAGTTTCAGCTTCAGATAAAAAATATGTCTGGAATTTTTAATTAATGCAAAATGTGTTTCTGCTCAAAATCTTACTAAGTGAGCCTGTCTGTAGTTCCATTTTCTGTCAAACATTTGTTAGGCAACCAGCATTAGAAGGACACGTATCTGAGGCACAGCTGAGTAATACAAAGTTTTTAGAGAGAAACAAAGAGTAAGATATGATCAAGGGTGTAATTAATAAGTGCTATGCCTAGAGGACTCAAGGCAAAAAGATCAGGATATAAACTGAGCTGGAAGTTTGGTTAGGACTAAGTTAGGACTAAGTGGCAAAGCCATAGCCATTGCTTGAGCTGGAGAAGCAGCTCAACTCAGAATACTGTTTTGGCAAATGTGTTTCTTCTGTTATTCATGGTGCTGGTTTTCAGATTCACTGTGAAATCCCAAATGTAATGAATGGTGAATTTCCATGAAGTACTGAATAATTCAGCCAAACTATTGCAAAAAACCTTACCAGGGCATCTAAACATAGCAGGTGTAAGGATGAAAAACCTAAATTATTTTTACCCTTGTTTCAGGTCATCACAGTGCAACAATGTGCTCTCTCAGTGCAGCCAATGCCAAGTTCTGTCTTGACTTTTTCAGAGAGCTGAACAAAAGAAAAAGAAATGAAAACATCTTCTTCTCCCCACTAAGTCTGTCAGCTGCCTTTGGAATGGTTGTCCTTGGAGCCAGGGGCAGCACACTCGAGCAGATTGAGAAGGTAGGGCTTTGCTCTGAAAAGGGAACCCTGGTAAGATATGAGCCAAGAGGCTGATTGTACCATGTGGTACAGTTCCTAAACATCCAAAGGGCTGATGCACACAGAAAGCCCTTTTAAAAGTACATTATTCTGTTCCTAATACCAAACTTCTTCAGACTAAGCATTATTATTGAATTGCTGTTCAATGAATACATCAATGCTAAAGCAAGTGTTTTGGAGGTATCCCTGCACTCTTAGAGCTCAGAAGAGTTCCTTACCTGTAATGTGTCTTTTTTCCTTCTCTGGACACCCAAAGCCTCCTTTCTCATATAGAAACATTTCAAAGATTTCACGCACTCACCATCTCCTAAAACTTGTTCACTTGCAAGGATTTTAGGGCAAAGAGCGAAAGGGCCTTTCTGCAGGGCCTGTGTTTGGCTGTGTTTTGGGATAGGCTTGCAACACTGCTTTAGCTTTGAAGTACCTTCACTCATCTGCATTCACTCAACATTTACATTGCAGGTCTTTCATTTCAGAGAAGTTTCGAGCAGTACGAGACATAAAAACAGATACCCTTCTGAGGAGGTAAGACACAATTGCAGCTCTGAGCTGAATCAACAGGAGCCAGTTTGTCAGCCTTTTTCCTTGAAGACAATCACTTAATCAGAAAGCACAGCAGGGCTGATCAGCCTCTCCATCTAGATTTGCCGACCTGCTTATTACTGTTCCTTTATTAGTTATTTAAGGGGCCTTGTAAGATCACACATTTCAACAGCTGAGCCTTCTCATTATGGGTTTCTAACCAAAACAGCTGTGCCAATCTAAAATGTGGTAAGTGCTTCAATTGCCACCTGCAAAGGTTTGCCTACAGAGCATGCCAAAAGCACCTTGCAGCTTGCTTCTCCCAGTCTGCAAGTCAGCAGCCCTTTGTTGTGCACCGGGACACCGCTGTAGCATATGGTGTGGTTTGGAGGTCAAGAGCGAGAAGAGGAACTTCTTTGTCATTCTGCACATGTGGCACAGGGGGAATAGGAGGTGGTGTCCTGGTACATTTATTCCAGTGCCTGAATCAGCTGGGTGGAGTAGGGTTTCTCATGCAGAAGAGGCTGCAATTCACCCTCAGGTCCAACTTTGCATAGGAAAGCTCAAGCCTACCACAAAACATCTGTTTTCCTGTTTGAAGTGTGAAGAAGATGAAGGAGTCCATTCCCAGTTCCAGGCTCTGCTGGCTGAAGTCAGTGAACCTGGACCAGGCTGCTGTCTCACCATTGCCAACAGGCTTTTTGGAGAAATTACTTATCCATTCTTCCAGGTAAGGGATCGTGGTCTCCCTTGTAACAGCTCCTAGAAGTGGGGAGCTCAGCAGAATGTTTTCCATCATGAAGTACAAAGGGACATATGCCTTTTTTACCAATTTCTTTCTTGCTGATCTGTTACATGGAACTATCCTGAAGCCATGAAATGACCCATCTTATAAAAATAATCACATTGCAATAAACTTCTACAATTTGTACTTTCCAGCAATACTTGGATTCCACAAAGAAATTCTATCGAGCAGAACTGGAACCAGTAAATTTTAAATACACTGAAGAAGAAGTCAGAGACAAAATTAACTTCTGGGTTGAAAATGAAACAAAAGGTAAAGAAAAAATGTGCAGTTTTTTTAGTTTGCAACTGAACTACTTATGAATATCACTCTCCACTTTTTTTCCAAAGATAGCAAGATTTTTATATATTAAACACCCGCACTAATTTTTTCTTTTCAATAGGAAATAAATGTAGTAAGGGGAACAAAAATGCCTTGAGTTCCTTGGTTCCAAAGCTGTACATAAATATTTGTCATTTGTCTGACAGCATTATACCACTTGTCAATTTAAAAGAAATAGCTATTAATAGTCAAAGTCAGCTGATTGCTGGAACAAAGTAATAATTTGTCTTAATTCATTATTTTTAAAGGCAAAATCAAAGACCTATTTGCTGCTGGTTTTATTGATCCCTCTACTGTACTTGTCCTGGTCAATGCTATATATTTTAAAGGAAAGTGGGCAGTAGAATTTAAGAAAGAAGACACTAAGGAAGCATTTTTCCACCTGAACAAGGTACAGTATGGGCAGGAACTGAAGCAGCTGGGGGATGTATGTCAGATGTCTGTCTCCTATAATAACAGATGGGGGCATTTCTCCTCACTGTTATCCCAAGACAAAACAGTGGTCTTGAGTGAGATCAATAAAAGGCTTGTATTTCTCTCTTTTCCTGACCAAATATGTAAATGCTTGTACCAATTAACATTAGAAGTGGTTCTTGTGCAGCTGAGATCCTTGTTGGACCAAATCCGCTGAGAACATGCACTAACTGTGTTGGTGATTTTGCAGCTAAGGGTGCTATTTCAAAAATAGTCTGCTGTTGAGATTGAAAGTGAGGATTCTGCTTCTCTCCTATTATTTATTAACAGAACAGTGTGTGCTTTCAGGGAAAAAAAAAAGTATTAAAGACAAATTATCTCAGGGGAATGTATACATTATTCATAAAGAATTTAATTTATGGTTGCGTAAGATGAATCAGTTTCCTCATCTGACACACCAGAAAAAAGAAAGATGTAATGAGAAGGTTGTGAGTAAAGTAATTTGGCACCATTAGAAAGGGAAATGTAATTTTTATGGTTCTAAAATGGATAACTTCATTGGGACTACAGTTGAAAGGAGCATATAAATGCTACAAGTATATTAAACCCATGACCAGTTTAAAAAATGCTTTTGAGCTGAACTCTAAGCTCAGTGCTGAAACCAAGTAAAACCAGGGTGATAATTTCTGTATTTCCCATTTAGTAATACAGATGTAATACAGTAATGCTTCTTGTGTTCCAGAACGAGAGAAGGAAAGTGCAGATGATGTTTCAAGAAGGATATTTTAACATGGCCATCATAGAGGAACTGAAAACAAAAGTCATAGAGCTCCAATACTTCAATAATGAACTGAGCATGTTCATTCTTCTTCCTGAAGATGACTGTGAGGACTTTACTGGACTAGAACAGGTAACACTTCATTTTCTCTCTAGTAACACACATGGAGAGCAATGCTTTAGCATTGCTCCAGTGTGGTCAAAAGACAAGGGGGAAAAACGGAACTTCCTTTCCTTGCATTCATTATGGTGCCAATCATTACTCCCAATACCACCTTGCAGCTTGAATGTGCCCTCACCTACGAAAAGCTCGCAGAATGGACCAGCTTGGCTACGATGCAACCCCTGAGAGTGAAGGTGTTCCTGCCCCAGTTCAAGATGGAGGAAAGTTATGTTCTCAACAACACTCTCCAGGAGATGGGAGTAATGAATGTTTTTGACTGGGGAAAAGCTGATTTGTCAGGAATCTCTATGAAAGATGGCTTGGCTGTGTCCAAGGCCATCCAGAAGACAATTGTGGAAGTCAATGAAGAGGGCACTGAAGCAGGATGTTCCACGGGGCTTCTTGCAATGCCTCTGTGTTGCCCAGTAACTTGTGAGTTCAGAGCTGACCATCCATTCCTCTTCTTCATCAGACACAACCAAACCAACACCATTCTCTTTTTTGGAAGGTATTCCTCTCCCTAAGTGGAGGTTATATTGGAAATTAGATCTTTCTCCCCACTTACATCCCAACTGGCAAACAATAAGGATAAAAAACAAAACAAAAGAAATTTCTCTAGACTTTATCCTAAAGTCTAGTTTGGTGTAAATAAAAAGATTATCTGAGAAGATGCAAATTAAAGATAAAACCCTAAACCCCATGAATCTTAGGCATATTTTACTTTTAGAAGACCTCAGGAAAATGACATATACCTTAAAATACACTATGAGGTATTTGCCAAAATGCCGTAGTCCTTTAGCGGTATCTTCAAAGAAAATTTTATTTTGAGCCTTTCCTAATGCAGTAGGGATCCATTAAACCCATGAGTTTAGTGCCTAGAAGATGAGTGATACCTTCTCTCACATGAAGTAGACAGGAGGATAGGGACCTGCATTAAAAGCATAACCTCAGGCACTTGGTCTCTTTTAGCCTTACCTACCTAAGGTCTCAAGGAAAATACCACTTTATAGGGGAGCATCAAAATATTCCACTACGGCCTCCTATTAAATACTGACTGGGGGCAGTGTTTCAAACTGGAGCCCTCAGGGTTTATTCTCAGAGAGCAGAGAAGACAGAAGATTTTCTGGTGTAATTTTGCTTGTTCTCAAGAAGGGCAGACCCATTGCTTTTTTTTTTTTTTTTTTTATGGGTGAAAAACTCTGTATGTGTGACCAAGTTCTCCAACTTCCTCATAAACTCCCACATAACAAAACCAGGGTTTCAGAATAATGGAACAATTTTCTGACAAGGCCTGTTCTGTGATGGCTGGGAATGAGACACATAATTCCCACATTAAACTTGAAGTAGTCATGAGCTATTCTCACTTCTAAGAGCCAGCTCTGTTTTGGGCCTCGGGTAGCATGTGTTTCTTGTTCCAGCTATTTTATTAATCAATAATATAAAAAAAAAATTAAAAAATCTATAGTGATGTTTTTTAAATGGGTAGTATGTGTTTATTATTTATTATTATTATTACAATTTATCATGATAAACTCACTGCAAACTAAATAGTAAATAAAGTAGTCTGCTGAATTAAGTAAACAGAGGAATAGTCTAATATAGTAAGTAAAAATAATGGCAATCCTTTCCAAAAATGTAAATGACACTGAAGTCTACCTCCCACTCTTGAATATTCACCATGTTGAGTTTAGACACTGGACAATTCAACATTAGGGTACATAAACTCTGAATCTTCTCCCTCTTTTACATGACCACTATTAGTTGCCTGACTTGGGGTTAAGCAGTTCTCTGGGAAGCAAATCAAGAGGAAAATTCTGGTGAAGCCAATTTTCTTGCTTATGATCTAGTTCCCTAAACCACCTCCTGGATGTTGTGGAGTAGGTGGTGAGAAGGAATAGCACAGGGTCACAAGAATGGAGCAGTCTGCCCAGTCTGGCAGTAGGTAACGTCCAAAATCCACAGATACATTAAGAGTACTTGCTTTTATGGGAAAAATATTCCAGCCTTTGATGAATCACTTCTTTTCTTGTTACTCGCTGATGGGAAAAAGGTAAACACTGGGAGCATACTGGTGCCATTGTAGAACTAATGAGTCAATGGGGTCTTCCAAATGCTGAGATATGCAGGAAAAATTACAGTAAATTACAGTACTCAACATAAATTGAACTGCTGAAAAAAGCAGACCCATTATAGTCTGGAGAAACTTCATATGGCTGCAAATGCAGTATGAAATACAGCCTGAAATAATTAAATTGCCTGTACAGACAGTTTTCATGCCATTATCTGGTAAGAGAACACAAAAAACAGGTTGTTAGCTCTTTGATAAATAAAGTATTCAAAAAACAGCTATACATGTTTTTCAACAACTGCCATTGGAATTTTATGTAAATCTGGTTTGTCTCTAATCGAAATTACTCAGGTTAAAAGGAAAAAAGAGTGAAACTAACAGCATTAGAATTTATTGGCTTGCACAATCAGGCCTATATATGTTCAGATAAAATGTAAAAGAAAAAGAATTAATGTGATAAAGGCAAGTTCTTTAACATATTAGTCCAAAAAGCACAAGTCTAACAACAGGAATTTTGTGCATGAGCAAAGGAGAAGGTGTGGCTGAAACAAGGTTATCACTTAGTTTCCTACAGCAGAAGTAACTTTGTATTGTTAAAAAAAAACCTCAAAAACTTACTTCAGTGATATCTAGATAATTCAGAACCAGCAACAAAATACGGTATAAATTATAATTAAAAAAACCCTTCTCTTTTTCTTATGCATTCTTTTTTCCTTATTGCCATTTTAATCTACAAGAAAGGAAAAAAATGTGGTGAAAAACACCAGAAGCTGGAAAGTAGCCTCCTGCTGCTAGTGTAGTGGCAACAGCTCCTACTGCAGAGGGCATTGCTTCCACAAAATCATGGATGTTTATTTAAAAATAGAAGGCAAGCCCTCCACTCTGGCTGCAAATGCTTCTCCTGTGGGAAACTGTAGTTTGTAACAGTTCAATGTCAAGCAATAGAGCTCACAGAGCAGAGAACAGCTGGAAACTCCAAACGGTGCTGGAGCAGACATAGCCCTGCAGGGCATTCCACTGCCTCCTCCCCAGGGACACGCTCTGTGCCAAGTGTAGAGCCACGCCAGCATACACAGCCTACAAAATTGTAGACTGGCAAAAAGCAAAGCAAAAGATGTCAAATAGTATTTGCATGAGGATCCATGGAAAGGTAACACACATTTGTCCCACAATAGAAAGATCTGTGGCTTCCCACAGTCTGCTTACTGAGTAACCCTTTACGTATTCACATTCCACTAAACTTTATTCTCTCTGATGGTTACAGATCGCCTCAGTTTTCTCTGAAACTATGCTTTCCTTTAAACAGTTTCTTAGTACCTATGTGTAACATAATTTTTAATTATATCTTCAAAAGCATTGCAATATGTAGGCAAGAAGGGCAAAGGAAGATTTTTGAATTGTCACTGAAAAAGCCAAAGAGGGAAGCTTTGAGTCACATTTCACACTCTCCCTCATCTTCCTCCCCACCCCACCTCCCCTCCCAACCATAAAGAAGACTAATGTTTATTTTCCTCAAAATATAACTGATAGTAGGTTTTATAGTAGAAAGTCGTGGTTCCCTATGGTCTCAGTCAGAAAGACACTCAGACACAGTGCAGTGTGTGTCATACAGATGGACCCTCCAAAAGCACGAGCAAACATTACTCCCAAACACTGCTCAATAGTTCCTGAGCAACCAGGAGAAATTACATGTGAAAATAAGAACAGAGAAATGCTGGAAAGAGCTGCTTTCCCAGCTCCTTGGTCCTCTTCTTTATGCCAGTATCAGAGGAAAGCTCTTTCTTATCTTCAGATTTCCCCATCTTCATTGCTGCTATAATAGCCTCATTCGGAATTGGTAAATTAAAACCCACTCCAATTATCAGGCTCTGCCCATACATCCTTGTATTTCAGCAAGGCAAAGAACACTGTTAAGGGTAAACCAGCTCCCCTTCCTTTTCACAGAGGGTGCACTTACTGCTGTATTTTCTGTGACTTGTACAAATTTGGATTTCTATTATCCACCCCTATGGCCTTTGCAGATGCCAGATTTGTTTCTTTACTGCTCATCAAGTCTATTATTTAATAAAGAGTAATAGCTTGTTACAATTGAATTATATTTTATATTGTACATTATGGTTGTCTAACAGACCATGAAAGTTCCTGCAGACAGATTCTGTAGTTTATTCACCTGCCATAGTTACAAGGTTAGGAAGATCTATGGGAATGGCCTGTGCAAGTACCATGGGCGTTGTTGCCATGACCTGCACAGAATGAAAATTAAAAGCTGACTTAGTCATTCTTTAAATACCACTGGCTGTTTTAAATAAATTTCTGAATACCTGAATACTCTGGAGTCAGGCTTACAGCCCAGGAAATATGTAATTCCTGACTGTTCCTCAGATCTCTTCCTCTTCCATGGCCATCTTCAGGCCTCTAAGTCATCTCAACATTGTTACTTTAAATGTTTTCATCAAAATAATGTTTTAGCAAAATGTTCTTTCTCCTCAGAGCCTTTCTCCCCTCTTCCTGCACACCTGTTCTGTAGATCCTCATAGTTTAGCCTCATGGTAAAATACTGTATTCTCACCTAGGCAGAGAAATGGATGTGGCTGTGCTTTTAACAAGTACAAGCCTTACACCACACTGATCTCTGCACTCCAGGAATATTCTGAATTTTGTCAGACCAAAACCCTTTCAATCTTGAAAACTAAACAAAAAGTTTTCAGTTTATTCTGACATGTCAAAAAATCAGTTTCAAATCCTTCTCAATAGAATGACCATCCTGCAGCTGGCTTTACTTGGAATAACAGTATTTTGCCAAGGTCAGATGGCCACCATTCTTGAGGAACTTCCCTCTGTTCCACTGCACAGATGTTGTAGTGAGCTGTTGCATATCTACCAGATGTTCAGGTGTTAACCCAGCATCCACCTTTCCCTTCATGATTAGTGGGAGTACTGTGTTAGAGTGCTTTCAGCACTGAGAGTGCCTCCACTCTCTCTTCTCCACTGAGAAGAGAATGTTACAGCAAAAGCTTAAATAATTAATTTTTAAATCATTTTTACTTCAATAAATCAAGGTTGACTTGCTGCAGATAGAATACCAGCTTAGCATTGGCCTGCTCAGTTTTTCAAGGTGCAATGAATCAAGCGGTCATGATGAAAGGCTGAAAAACGGAAAGATTGAAAAGATGACTCCTTGAAGGCAACAGTGGGAAAAGGTCTTGAAAACAACAGTGGGAGTGTCTCAAATAATGCTATATATATCGCCAAACAAGAGCTCAGGGAGATGTTTAGCTTCAGCTGGGAAGCTGGATTATTACATGCCTCTTTGAAGTTTGTGGGGTAAGTATTTCTCCAAGAAAATGTAATTTCTAATTTGTATTCTTTAAGATGGAAAAAAAATTATGTTTAAGAACCTTAAGGTAAGTATAAGACAGGTATGTAAAAAGACAGCATATACAGTAATTCTGCCTTGTGTTCTCATTATATCTTATACTGTTTGACTGTCAAATACTTTTTGGTGTGCAAAATATGTGGCTTGTGCACCACAGCATTGAGTAGAAATAGTTCTTTTTCATTTGAAACCTGTTGTCACATTAAAACTATCCTTTTATAATTCTAATAATTGGGAATAAAGGCATTTCTCTTTTCTCAATCTCACTCCCTGACAAAATCCCTATATTATATGTGTGTGTGTAGCTACTTATATACATGCATGATTGTGCTAAAAAGCATCAGCAGCTTCTAACAGAACAACTTACTAGTATTATTGCTATAAACTACAGAAAAGCAACCTCCAAATTTGTGGCTGGTTGTACTAAGCAACAGTGAGAAGTACACAGAGAGTGTAGTGAGATGACTACATTTGGTTTAAAGATGGAGAGCAGCCACAGAAGAAATTAAATATTAAGTTTGCATTGTCTCAAACACCATTCAGAGCCCTCTGGATGCCATAGGGAAACTCATTCAATGTTATATTTATCATATTGAGGGGGTGGATGAAACTTTCTTTTTCCTAAAAGGCAAGTACAAGGTACTATCTTGCTGATACGATCTTGTTGAAAGAAAACAAACACGTGTTCATATGTAAATGGATCAGGAGTTACAAAATTTCTAATTATCACAGAATTTGTAAGCTTCACATCATTCACTGGTTCAGCATCACAAAACCAGCAATGAACTGGCAGTTTCTGGGCTATTGGCAATACTCTTTAAAACAAGCACTACATAAAGTCATATTTCTGTTTGCTTTAGGAAACGCTGGTTTCACAATGGGCTCCATCAGTGCAGCAAATGCAGAATTTTGTTTTGATGTATTCAAAGAGGTGAAACTTCACCACCCTAACGACAACATCTTTTATTGCCCCCTGAGCATGATTGCAGCCTTGGCCATGGTCTATCTGGGAGCAAGAAATAACACTGAGTATCAGATGGAGAAGGTAAGTTACATAAATGGCTACAAACTCTCTTTGATCCCCTTCAAAGAAGCAGCAGATTATCAATTTCTATCTTCCAAACCTGCCTAGCAAAAAAATTTTTGCTTTCCAAATTCTGGAGGTACTTTTCGCTTCTTGCATTTCCCCGTGAAGGGCAAGAACAACCTTTGGTTTTCATTAAGAAAGAGAAGTTTTGGAGGATAGTTAAGGCAGGTCTCTTGCTTCAGCTTGTATTATCTCAGAGACCTGATTCCTTCCAGGTGGAAAGGACAATTTGAAACATACAAAAGATGTAACAGGAAAACAAGAATCATAGTTATAAACACAATGCTGTAAGGCTATAGATGATTTATGGACAATGCCATTAACTGGAAAAGAAGGGATCTAAGCTGAAGATCACAATCACAAATTTTCACTTTGATGCCTGGTTTAAAGCTCAAATGAAATTTCTCAGTTCATCCATGTGCCAATCAGACTTGGTTAGTGAAAACCTACTTAGCACAAATATCACTGACTGACAGTGGACTTCACATACCTAATTTCTACTTTCAATTGCAGGTTCTTCACTTTGACAAAATTGCAGGACTTGGAAGTATCCAGACCAAGGTACAGAAATCTAAGGTACATTGATTTCTCTTTCACATCCTTTTCCTGAGAATAGACTTTTCTAATTGTGCTTTTAGTAGTTTCAACACCTTGCCAAACCTTAGCCAATTATCTTAATTTAGGAGATGTAAGTTAAAAAAAAAATACAACAAACCACCAAAGCCCAAAGAACAACAGCAACAAAACAAATGCCAAGCAAACAACCACCAACAAAAAAAAAACCCAAAAACCAAAAAAAACCCAAAAAAACAAAATCCCCAAAAACACCACCAGAAAAAGAGGACAGGCTACACATATTGCAAGTAACACGACAGGATAGGGTCCCTGGGCACCAGGATACACTTTGGTGTAAATGAACTCCACACCTGCAAGTGCTGCTGGGGTACAGCCCTTGAAAGGGTCCCAGTACCTGAAGCCAGGGAACAGTAGACAGACTTTCAGCTGAGACTCCAAAGTGGGACAGCAGAAAAGAGCCCAGAATCCCCAAAGCATGAAAAATAACCACACTCTTACAAAGCTATAGGGACTTTTCCAGCCTCCAATTCCCACTGCTACCCCAAGAGAACCATGAGGGGTCCCAGTACGATGATACCACCTGTATGCTTTTGTCCATGTTAATCTGCTGCCTCTGTAAAGATAACAAAAGCCATGGAGCCTGGTGTGTCCCCATTCACTTGGGATCCAAAACACAAGGTGGGACTTAAAAAAGATAAAACATTTTTTTTACAAAGCTAGTATCTAAACCTAGGACATTTAGGGACTCAGCAAGCATTTAGAAAGGAGCTGTTCAACACAATTATTCCCAAAAAATAAAGTCCCACCTACTATTTATAATTGTGCAGTTTTCTTACATGCTTTTAGCCTGTGTCACCATTCCTGGAACTTAAGACAGATGATCCATTTTTTCACTGTATTACAAAACACTTCCTGGCTCCCTTGCCATCTAGCTCTCTTCTTCCATCTGCAGCTTCTGCAAAAAAAAATGCCATGAAAATGCATGGAGCACTTGGGATTTAGGGGCTTTGAACCTATGAAAAGTCACCAATTTCAGTAATTAACCTCTGGCATGAGTAGCATCACAGGCTGTGAATGAGTTATACCTCATTAGCTGCTCATACTGAACATCCCTCCCATGGAACTCTTAGACTCCATTACATGTTCATTTGCAAATGTTCTCACACTGTGTGTTTTCCCACATTATTTGTACCTTACAAATAATCCTCTTTCTCATAAAATAACCTAACAGCTGTACTTTTCTTATCAACAACTCAGTGTGGCAAGTCTGTGAATATCCACCTACTGTTTAAAGAAATTCTTTCTGATATCACTGCACCAGAAGCCAATTATTCACTACACATTGCCAACAGACTCTATGCTGAAAAGACAAGTCAGATCCTACCGGTAAGTGATCTCTTGCAAAACCCTGTAAAATTCTCTGATCTGGGAGGACTGGCCAGAGTGGGTGACCAGTTAATCCAATAGTCCCTACTGGTGTGGATTCACATAGCTTTTCCCTTTGCCATAGCCCTGGCGACAGTCTAAATAGAAAGCAATTTGAAGCAAAAATATGGCCCTATTAAAAAAAATGAAAGGAGTAATAACCAAAATTACTAGTAATGTAACTCCTCACTCCCCATTTGCTCCCCCAAAGCATTTCATTTTAACTGGTTGTTGGAGTTTTTTTAGAAATAATTTGACTCTGGCAAATTTCTTTACTTGAAAACTCACCTCAAAACCAAATTTTGAAAGTGCCACAATCTTTCTTTCACGTTTTCAAAATTAAAGATACAAATAGTCTAAATCAAAGGAACTTCTTATCTTTAAAAAAAAGGAAAAATGCTTTGATAAAAGGAAGTGGACTTAAAGATGACAAAACAGTATAAAATTAGCCTAAAACCAGGGTGTTTGGGTCAGGCTTTCTTCCATAAATTCTTAAACATTTTTAATATATGGTCTTAACTGGTCACATAGTAAAGATGTCAGATCTGAAATTGGCATAAAATAAAATAATTTTTCTGGTCCAGTTTTAGCAAATTCTTTCAGGAAGCAAGCAATGAGAACACCTTAACCATGCTATCACTATAAAAATCTTATTAACCATATTTATTTCACTTCCATATTGTTCTTAAAAAATTACTAATTCACTGGCTACAATTAATTGGTGTCTTTACAGATCTACTTAAAATGTGTGAAGAAACTGTACAGATCTGGTCTAGAAATGGTCAACTTCAAAACAGCATCGAATCAAGCCAGACAGCGCATTAATTCCTGGGTGAAAAATCAGACAAATGGTAGGTCAGGCAAGACTATGAACTATACTTCTCTCTGACAACTGTATTTTAGCAAATTCTGAAAGGACTAAACATTAGAGGAGAAATTTCCTCTTCCTGTCCCCATTAGTGAATATTTTCTGTGGAAAGGGATGACTCTATTGCAGCTGTGTGGCAGTGACAGAGTGTTTTAAACACGTCTGGCAAAGGCAGAGGTGCCATGATATGCACACTTAATATGCACCTTTTATATGCACAATTTTTGTATCTAGAGGGATTAACTCATGCAAGGTTACTTCCAGCTTTCTAGAATATTGGCATATTATTACAAGGATGTGCTGGATAGGTAAAAAGTGGGCTTCCAGGGGAGAAAGTAATGCACACTAAACTGATGCTGGGAAATCAGTAATTCAGAAACTTGTGTGCATTTATTGTGTTGAGGTAGGAGGAAAAACCTATAGTGAATTGTGAGAAACAAACTTATTGAGAAAAATCTCTGTTTGTTCTTCTGTCTCTCTTTCCTTCTTTTCTATATAAGTATTTATTTTTGGCAAGCGCTGGTTAGAATTGTTCCTGGGAATCTATAACACTCTTGAACTTCCATGTCTTCTTGCAGAAATGTCTGGCAGTGTATTATTAAATCATTGTCATGATCCTTAATTCAATGTGCAGACTTTTGGAGAAGTAAAAGTCAAGTGAAGGAGAAGTATATGGATTGGCTTCTAAAATGTAAGACTACTGCTATGAAACTTACCACTCTGTACCCCATGTTTTTCTTAAAGGACAGATCCAGGATCTCCTTGAACCAAGCTCTGTCAATCCTCAGACTGCGCTGGTGCTTGTGAATGCCATTTACTTCAAAGGGATATGGAAGACACCGTTTAAAGAAGAGCACACGCAGGAAGTGCCCTTCAATGTGACAGAGGTAGGGGGCACAGACACAGTTTCTGGCCTGTGTATTTGTTGTATTTACAGTGTATTTGTTGAATTTACAGTTCTGTTATAATTGGCTGGGTGATTTACCTGGGTGCCTCACTGTCAGATTTATAACAGCTGTGTCTGACAGAGCAAACAGCAGATGAGACAAAAATGGAAACACAGCTTCTCTCCAGAGGCAGCATGACTGAAGATTGGGTCTTGTCTTTTCAAAGGCCTTGTACATTTGTCTGACCAAAGAAAAAGATTGCTCCCACATCACATCATCTCACATTTTTGTTTTTGCAGCAAGAGAGCAGACCCGTGCAAATGATGTGTCAGAACGGCACCTTCAGAGTGGCAAGAGTGGCTGAAGACAAAATTAAGGTCCTGGAGCTTCCGTATGCCAGTGAAGAGCTGACCCTGCTGGTGCTGCTGCCTGATGACATCTCTGGTTTGGCACAGGTACGGCCTTGGCAGGGCAAGCAGAAAAGTTATGGCTTCAGGGGGGCTTGGCTGCTGTCAGACCTTTTGCTGCCCTTTGGCACCGGTGGCTGCCCACCCCACGGCTGTGCTGGGCAGGCAGGGGAGCACAAAATCTGCCCAGGTGCTCAGGCAGAGCCTTTTGGGAGAGTCCTGAGCTCAGTTTTATGGAATGAAGGTAAAGCAGTGTAGTGCTGCTGCAGACCTGCAGAAGAAGGTGTATATATAGGCAGTGTTATAAAATTAGCCAACTATACTCAAGAAAGGAGAAAAATCAATGCAGTCCAAAATATATTAACAATTACTCATATTTCAGTAATGTTTTTAAATTATAAAATAGAGTTATTACAGATGTAGAAGAGTTTGCATTTGTTAGGTGCTACCAACTGTAGGTACAATTTCAAGGTCTTGTTTTTGCAATCTTTCACAAAGCTGACTAATTTACTAAGCTGTGAAACTGTTGGGTTGTGCTTCATGAGACACAAGATTACCTGGACAAAGGGGGACTGGTAAAAATCTGAATAAAAGGAAAGTGACACAGGCGGTACTAGAGAGGCAATTAATAAAATACCTGAAGGAAGCCAACAGGATGAGCTTCAGGAACCATTCTGGTTAGGGTTTTACTTTTATGATAGCCTTGACAGAAATGAATGGTAGGAAGAAGTTGGATTTTTATCCCATGAGTTTCATTTCATGCCTCTCTTTGCAGCTTGAGAACAAAATCAACTTTGAAAAACTTGCCGAGTGGACCAGTTCCAGGGTGCTGGAAGAGAAGAAGGTGAAAGTGTACCTCCCACGCATGAAGATTGAGGAGAAATATAACCTCACATCTGTCCTGACATCCTTGGGTATGACTGACCTGTTCAGCCCCTCGGCCAACCTCTCTGGCATCTCTTCAGCAGAGGGCCTGAGGGTATCTGAGGCTGTCCACCAGGCATACATGGAAGTCACTGAAGAGGGCACTGAGGATGCTGGCTCAGCAGATGACACAGAAGACATCCAACATTCCTCTGAATTTGAAGAGTTTAGGGCTGACCACCCATTTCTTTTCTTGATCAAACACAATCCAAGCAACCTGATCCTCTTCTTTGGTAGATATTGTTCTCCCGAAGGAGAAAAGGGCTGGAAATAATGCTTGCCTACCCCTAAGAAACAAACCTCCTTTACTCTAGTATTGTAGTATAATCTCATCTCTTCAATATTTTCTGCAAGTGGAAAGGCTACTCCAAGTTGTGGCCTTTCCTGAAGCTTCCATAACTAAGACACACCTGCAGGTGAGGAAACGGCAGCACGTGTGTTTGCTCCTTTCCCTTCTCAGACTGGGTTCAGTGTGGATTGAGCCAAGCAAAGAGTAAGCCCTCAGAGGATAGAGGCCCTCATGAGCCAGGAAGGGGTCAGATGATTTTCACTTGAAGGAGTGGCAGACAGGGCACCAAGTCTTTGGTATTCCATTACTTGGAAAGACATGGGCTGTGCTCATCGCATTCCCTGGTAACTATCCTGCTAACAAACCCATACAGCTCCTGAAACACTGGCTTTGAAGTCCCCAGACTGAAGAAGATGCTTGTGGACAAGATTCTGCTATGCAGGGTATTAATTGGTTCCCATGTAATTTTTTTTTTCCACTTATCTCTTGGGAAATGGTGCACATATGACCAGAGCTGTCCTCTCACCATGGGCACCTCATGTAATACTGAATTTCTTCCAGAGGTTTTCCAAAGTCATACAGAGTTTCCCTTCCACTTCAGAATGTTCAAGGAGATCTAACTTTGTCTAGGTACAGTTATGTCTTCTCACAGAGTATAGCTTCAAAGCCTGAAACGTGGATATCTGGATGATCTAGGACTACAACTGCCAAAAAAAAAAAAAAAAAAAAATCTGAATTCTTGTTTAAAACATTGCAAGTCACTTCAAATTTGAGAATATTTTGATTTTTGTGAAAAATCATGAAAGTGATGTTAAAAAAATCTGATTTCTCCATGGGAGTTTTGTAAAAAAAACCACAGTTTTAAAAATAATTCCTGTCTCTGTTTACCTTGCTTAGCAAGATAAACTTCAATTTGTTCCTGAAAAGTTCTCAGTTGTTCAAAATTCAAGAACATTATTATTCCATGAATGTAGCTGGGCTTCTTTATTCCTATTATAGTTCAAGACTAAATCTCTTATTTTCAAGAAATACATCAGAATCCTAATTTTCTCTGTCTTTTTCTGATATGTCCACTAGCATCTCCAAGTATGATTTCATTGTTTCAATATTATGACTGTTTTCATTCTAATCATATATTGCTGATTTTGATGCACATAATTGATTTTTTCTTTCTTAACACAATAAAAGTAAGTCACAAATCCTGGTAATGAAATTGTGAATTTTCTTAATCTTCTGGGTGACTAACCCTTAAAATATTATTACATTGGTAACTGTTGTGAGCAAAATGGGATTTAGTCCAAAATTCTCCAGTTTTTAGAATGAATAAAGTATGTAGATATGAAGTTTCCTATCCATTTATGAAATCAATGAGTGCACACATCTATAATATGAGTCCTCTCTGTAATACTGATTACCAAGAAATAACCCAATGAAATATTAACTTGTTCTTATGTATTCTTTGATTCAAATCCAATGGATATAAAGATGCATTATTAGCTGGATAAATATTTCAAGGAAAAGTTGTTCCAGCAACTCTGCCACTTGAGATGATGAAATCATCCAAAAAAATCATATAACTCAAAAGGTATTAGAAAGAATAAGTAGATGGGCAACCCTTAGGCAAAGCATTTCCCCACTGAGAGTTTTGAGAGGAGGTATTCTGACATTAATATCAGTTATTCCAATAATAAGGGACATATAGACTGGGCAATAAGTTGCTGGAGGACCCCATGCAAAGAGAGCTGGTGGTCCTGGTTGATGACAAGTTGAACATGAGCCAGCAGTGCTCTGGCTGCCAGGAGGGCCAACCCTGTCCTGGGGGGCATCAGGCACAGCATGGCCAGGCAGGCAAGGGAAAGGATTGTCCCACTCTGCTCTGAGCTGAGGCAGCCTCACCTCCAGTCCTGGGGGCAGTTTTGGGAGCCACAATATAACAAAGACAATAAACTGCTGGGGAGTATCCAAAGGAGGGCCATGAGGATGGTAAAGGGCCTTGAGGGGAAGCATTAGAAGGAGCAGCTGAGATCTTGGTTTATTCAGCCTGGAGAAGAAGACATTGAGGGATAAACATCATTGCAGTCTGCCGCTTCCTCAGGTGGGGAAGCAGAGGACCAGGAGCTCATCTCCTCTCTGGTGATTCATAACAGGCCCTGAGGGAATATCAGGAATCTGTGTCAGGGTAGGCTTAGGTTAGATACTAGGAAAAGACTTTTCACCCAGAGGGTGTTTGGGGGCTGGAACAGGCTCCCCAGGGAAGCAATTATAGCACCAGCCTGATAAAGTACAAGAAGTGATTTTGGGTATATGCTGTGATTCCTGGGGCTGTCATATGGGGCCAGAAGTAGGACTTCATGATACTGATGTTTCTCTTCCAACTCAGGACATTCTATGATTCTATTTCCACATTAAGATATAGTGTGGCATGATAAAAGCAGATCTGTAGAGGAAAGAAGGTGGTGCTACCTGTCTGAGATCCACGTTATTTGAATGTCATCAGGATGTTTGTGATGTAGACTCAGTTTTTTTTTCAGTGATAAAGGCAGCTATTTCACCAAGTACATTTTAACTATTTTTCTTTAGAAGTCAAAGCAGTGGTCTAAACGGTTCCAAGAGATGCAAAATTTCAACATCTCAAGGCTTGCCATAAACAGTTTAATCACTATCTGCATCTCCTGTAGTCAGAAGCACTTGATCCAGTCTGTTAAATTTAAAAGCCTGTACACTTGAACAATAAGAAGAATTCAAAAGGGTTACATTTGAAAACTTTCCTTCCTCTGATGATTAAACTGGAAGGTTCTTAAAGTACAAAGATATGCCTCAGTGACCAATGTTTTTTTCCTGAACAGCAATAGTGGTGAAAATGAAGTCATGGGAGAAAGGCAAAGGGGCCATGAGACTCAGAGGCAAGTACAAAGCTTCTCCTTTCCAAAAAGAAAAGACAGGAGGCAGTAAAAAGTGCAAATTCAGAAATACTGAACTAAAGCTGTAACTTGCTTTAATATTTGCTTTTAACAATATTTAAATGCTTCAAAAGTTTTTCATTAAAAAAGGCAAAAATAAATAAACCTTGAAAATGTTCTTGTTATGACTGGCATTTCTGTCACAGACTTCCAAATGGGTTTTCTCGAGAACAGAGACCCTTCTTCTCTTACAGACTGCTGTGCATTACCAGAAATAAAGCTTAGCAGGTAACAAGACAAAATCTGAAACTTTCTGCATCTTGTTGTACAAACTGCATGCCTCCAGAAAGCACAAAGAGACATCCAAGGGTCTGCCACTATGAAGCAACTTTTCTCTCTGTAAAGCATGGAAATAATACTTGTCTATGAAGTGCCACACAAACTCCCATTCCAAGTGCCTCATCCACACTGCTGTACTTTCTTTGCACATTAATGTGCAGTAACTCTGCTCTCTCAATCTCCCTTGGGGTCTTCCTCTAGATATAGTATGGAAGCAGAGAACAGCTGAGACTGGAAGTGGCCTCTGCTGATTTTTTATTCCAAGCTCCCCCTTTCAATCAGGGTCAGCTACAGCAGGTTACTTGGGATCATGTCCTTCTGGGTTTTGAATATTTCCAAGGATTGAGACTCCACAGCCTCTTTGTGCAACCTAGATTTACCTCCCTTATCCAAAAGAAATTGTATTTTCTTACATAATGAGAAATGTATGTTTCATATGTATTTCTTATGTAATATAAATGTAATTTCTGCTATTTCAGGTTGTGTCCCTTCTCTCTTGCTGGTTCACAGGAGAAAGTCTAGCTGCATCTCCTTTTTACCCTCCCATCAAGAAGGCTATGTGCAAGGATAAGATCCCCCTGCACTTTCTCCTTTCCAGGGTAAGAAGTCCCATGTCTCTGAGCCTCTCCTCTCATGACGGATACTTTAAGCACTTAATCATCTTCTCTGGTCCTGCTCCCCAGGACATCCCCATCTCTTTTGGAAAGGAAAGCCCAGAGCCAGACAGAGCATTCCATCTGTGGTCCCACCAGTGCTAAGTAGAGGGGCAGGAAAGCCTCCCTTTACCTGCTGGCAGTGCCTTTTTAAGGCATCCCCTTGTGCTATTGACTTTACTTGCCATAAGGACAGATTGCTGACTCACAGTCAGCTCAGTGTCTGCCAGGTCTCCCAGTTATCTTTTTGCAAAGCCAACATAATGTCATGGACCTTTGTGTGATGATATTTCTCCTTTTCTGCAGTCTTTTCCTGCAGGAGGCATGTCAGGAATATTGCCAATAATCTCAGTAGGTTGCTATTCAGAGGAGAGGAAGGCTTTGTGGAAGTATATTTGTGTTGAAACAAACCAAGAGATTAGTTTATCCTATTTTGTGCAAAAGAAGAATGCTATTTTTCGTGGGAGTGTGTGCTGAGATAAAGGACATGCCGGGCAGACTGTGAGTGATGGGAGGTAATGTAGCAGGCATGGTGACATGGGCAGTGTTAACCACAGGCTGCCACAAGCAGGCTTCTCTGTGGGGAGGGATGCTGGTAAGTTCCACGTGGCACAGCCAATGCCAAATGTTGTGCCAAGGTCAGCTGCCATCTTTCTTGCCCTGTGTGTGTGCTGGCTGCAAGGCCCTCATTGCCCTGTTGCCTCCTTAGGAGCCAGTGAGTAAGGCCATACCCGGCGTCACCCTGGCAGCTGCCTGATTCCATGGACTTGGGGGATGAATAAGGGACATCACATATGCTGTGGTGCCTGATGAAGGGACAGCTGTGTGTGTTGGTCTAGAACCTGTAGAGCTGCAGAACCTGGATGTTGTGTGCACTGCTAAGGGTGAGTGACTTGTGACCAAATCCATCACAGGATCCTTCTGAAGATGCCTTCACTGAGGTATGCATAGGCCTGTCACAGCCTGTGGGTGGCTAAGGCAGCCCTGCCAGCAAAGGTACCCAACACTTTCAGGGCACAGGGCTGCCAATGAAAGATGCCAGGTGGGCCAAGAGCTCCTGTCTGAAGGAGCTTGACCAGACACCTAAAGCTTCTTCAGACTGGGGGAAGAACACAGTCCTACAGGACAACTGAGAGAGAAACCATCATTAATTAGCTACAGCACCAAGGTCTGCAGTAGCGCCTAACTGAACAATCACTGGCACTCACTCTGAGCAAGACAAACACGAAACAATCAAAATGCTCCTTCCCACTGACAAAAGAACAGCAGCATGGATGCAAACTAAATCTTGAGCTGTGCGTGGGATGTTGTGATTGGATGAGAGGCTTTGGTCTGTTAGCTGACCTGGACTTCATATCCTTTTGTGAAGGTCCAAATGTCCAAGAGTCTGTTGGTTTAGGAATAGCACCACAATGAAACGCCTGGCAGAGGAAAGGGCAACCAAGCTTTAGCTGACCTCTTTCTTGGGACAAGCATTATCAAACAAGGATGTGTGGATAAACACATCCTTTTGTGTTTGTGCTGCATTACACAGCTGTGCTGGACAGGGCAATACATTATCTTCTCTCTGAGGAAGTGTTTCAACTTCAGGAAGGTTTGCTTAACCTCACTAGACTCCATGACAGATCTAAAATTGCCCAGTTCACTAGGCACTACCTCTCATATTCTTACAATTCTGTACTGATAGCTGATCATAACCAAAATTTTTACTTACTTGTGGAATGATTTAGTTGCCTCTGCAATTTGCTTTACATTTATCATTCATTTGACCAATATAAAATAGAAATGCTAACAAAATCAGTAACCTGGGTTGTGCATTAGCACACATGTAAGCAGTGGACTGCCCCTGCTCTACTGTAAACCAGAAAATTTCTTTCATTAGTCAATAGATTCAACTCAGAAATATTTTGCTAACAACATTAATGCTGTGAGTTGGCTGTTACAAAACACCTGTACCAAGTCATGGGACATTTTTGTAGCTACCAAGTTACAGGCTGTCTATGATGATACAAATATGATTCAGGTAGATGGGCACAAGGGCCATGGTGGCTCACATACGGTGAGTTGAAGCACACCACTAGACAATTTGATAGTCAAGGAAATAGGCTCAAGGCATATTCAAAGATTAGAAGTGACAGGGACGAACATACTGGCTAGGCCTCTGCCTTCTGAGCTGTCAAGTATACTGCAAAGGACCATGGCCACAAGTGTAGAAGGCAGTTTGAAAAGAAAGAAGGCAGTCTCAAGATGAAAAAGCAGAAAGAGCAACAGCTGCAGGAACACCTTACAGTTTAGGGAGCACTCCCACCTGCGTGGTTAAAGGTTCACCCTATACCGGCACATGCATCCATTCGACCTGTTGTCCTCCCACAAGGTGGGATCCTTTTCAGCTAAATGGGACTCACAACATTGGTGACCAGTTTACACACTGCTCCTGTGAGAGAATATCTCATTCTCTTTGCAGTAGATCTGCAGTGATGAGCCACCCAAGGGGGTCAAGGTCTAAACATCTTTCCTCAGAAGCCCTGTTCCTGCATAACAAGGGTTGTAATAGATTGGCCTGGACCACATGCTGTACCATGTAAAGTACCAGTGTGATGTAAATGCATTAGTCCAGACCAAGCTCTCCATGGCTCCAATTGCATGAGCAACTTCAGCTGAATGGGACTATGAAGAACTGTACTAGAGAGAAAGATAGGGATGATCCAGAGGCTTTCCTCTTGCTCAGATAACGAAAAGGGTTAAAAAGTCCACCTCTACTCTCCTGAGGCATAATTTGTTCTAGACAATTTCAGAGCCATTTTGTGTATTGACTTTGGATTTCTGTTTTAAAATTATGTGGCATTTAAGAGGTCAAAGCATTTTCTTTTATTGTCCCTCCATTCTTTTATTTCAAAGGAATTATGCAACTGGTTTCTGCTGGCTATTGTATATTATGACTGTCTTGCAGACCATGAATGTTTCTTCAGCTGGTTTGTTCAGCTGATGTGCCATGAAGTTACTTGTGGAAGAATGTAAGAATGGTCTTGTAAGAATGGTCTCTGTATGTAAAAAAGGCACATTTTGAACCTAGCATCTGGTGCTGTGACCTGTGGAAAAGAACAGCACACCTTAAACAACCCTTCAAAATTATACCTTTTCTGGTAGCATCTCACTAGGATCTAAATATCCTGATGCCTGAATTAAAAAGTTACAGAAATCTTGTCTTCCTTATTTTCTCAGCTTCTCTTTCCCTAACACATTTTTATTAATTCTGTAGTTCTTCCCTTTACAGATGTGCTGAAATTAATTTATATTCCCAAAATAGTATCACTGAGGGTTTTGTTCTACTGATGTGCTGCCCAGATTGTGACTGTGTCTGAGTTCCTTGAACTAGATCGCTCTGGAATGAAAAACTGTGCTCAGTGAAACACTATGTCTGTGGTCTTTTACAATGCAGCAAGGGACACCAGACAAATACAAATAACATCTTGCAGAAAAATGTACTTCAATTGTATTAGATTTGTCAATAGACATTGAAAGGAAATGGTCTTTCTTATGTTCCTCAGCAGCAAATTTTCTCCATTCTTTAGGAAGAGCTGTGGATTCTGGTGGGAAGGAAGACTAGTGATACTGGTAGTCCAGCCAACAATTGGAGAAAAGTTGCAATAAATACAGCTGAGCATGTGCTGATCTTACCAAAATTTGTAAGTTCACAAAATGATGACTGTGAAATGTATCTGGCCTGTAACTATTCAAGACAGAGAAATATTAAGGAAAATAAGACAAAATTCCTTACAGACATTCTACAAGACTGACTTCCTCACCATGCATTTTTGTTTTATTTTCACATGCTATGTTACACTATTTGCTGCCATAATGAAATCATACTTACTATTCAAGTTCCAATGAATAGCTTTTATCATTATTTTTGCTTCAGTCATTGTAATGTTCTCCTGTCTCTTCTGCAAGGTTTCATGTGCTATGATTAATAAACCTTCCTTTTTGAAAACTTTAAGTTAAAATCCTTTCATTCAGTCTTTTTTTTTTTTTTCCTTTTTATTTTTGGTTCAAGGAATGGACTTATTCCAAGTAAAAGTGCATGTCTGACATTGAGCTCCATCCATCACTTTATTGAGTAAACACAGAACAGGCAGCAGGGGCGTGTCACAAAATAACACAAGATATATTTCAAGAGGTTTGTCAAGTCTGCTCCAAGTACAGCTGAGAAGCTGTGCTATACCATTCCCTGGTGAATCTGATAAGGTAAGGATAATTTCTTTCAATTATGATATAAGTTCTAATCTGCAAGATAAAAAACAATTGTCTTTTACAATACTTATAATTGAATTGATGTAACCTCATGTTTGTGTGGCCTTCAATATCAGTTGAAGAAACTCATTATCACGGGATGCCTTCTGCAGAAACCTTACCTGCGTTCAGATGTATTGTCTGTATTATTTTGCTGTTTCACAGTCTGCCATGTATAAAGTCAAAGTTATTTATAAACTATAGTTTTGTTTACTAACTCTTCCACATTGAAAAGCTGGTGGTAAGTTCCAACAGACTTTCTTCCTTCTTCCTCTATTCTTTAATTATTCATTTACTATTAAAAGACAAAATTGAATTTATTTAAATTCCAGGGGCTATGTAAGTTATTCTCTGAACGAAATCAAGGAGTGCAGAATGTTCAAATGACCCCATCATTCTACAGTTCTGTGTTATCTTTAATAGTTACATTTTCAAAGATAAATGACAACAACCACCCCCCCCCCCCCCCCACCCCCCACCAAGCATTTGCTTCATGAATTTGTTTTTTCACCGGGAACAAAAACAGAGCTTAAAGCCTAAAACATAATAGTAGGCAGAATAGTTAAATAATGAAAAAAAACAACCTTATGTCATGTTACCTTATGACCTATTTCACCACAGTAAGTCAGACTCTTTCTCTTTGCATTAGACAACAGGGATTTCACAATGGGCTCCATCAGTGCAGCAAATGCAGAATTTTGTTTTGACGTATTCAAAGAGGTGAAATTCCACCGCAGCAATGACAACGTGCTATTTTCCTCCTTGAGCATGCTTTCAACCCTGGCTATGGTGTATATGGGAGCAAGGGGTAAGACTCAATCCCAGATGGAGAAGGTAAGTTACTTGCATGGGTGTAAAGTAATCTCTACTTGTGCTACTTGCTCCTTATAAGTAACATCACTGAAAAATATGCACTGATGAGGTTCCCACCTGTTTCAATGCACAAGAACTAAGCCAAAGTCACAAAATGGAGAACTGAATCAAGAGGTACATATAGAATATGCTAATAAAAAATGTGTATATTGTCAATATAACAGGCAGTTGACTTAAACATTAAAAAAAATCTCAGGGACAATAGCAAAATAGATTACCAGTCAGTCGATTTTATGATTTTTAAATTCTAACAAGTTTCAAATAACATAATCAGATTTTCATTTTTAATACATATAAAAGACAAATTCCAGACAGACAGGAAGACAGACTATTTTTAGCAATGCATAATATGTAACTCAATTGATTTCTAGATATTCACTAGAAAAAAATATAATCTAAGAAAAGAATAGTATTTACAGTTTCCAAGAAGTTCACAGAGGGCATAGACCGGTTGCAAGCTTACCTGTGAATTTTTAGTTAATCTATTTTCTCAGCATCTTTTTTTTTTTTTTTTTTTTCCTGAGCCAACAGTTTTTTTTTTTTTTACACAAGCAACACATGTAAATCTCAAATTCACATTGTTTTTGGTCATGCTTCTCATGTCTACCACTGGTATTTTCTCTTGCAGGTTCTTCACTTTGATAATGTTACAGGAGATGGAGATCTTTCTGACCCCCAGGTAGAGAAATAATTTAATCTTCCTTTCTGTCTTATTTTCTCCTCAGAACAAGAGTAGAATTATTCTGCCTCTCCTCCTGACAGCTTCAGACCCTAACAAAAACTACACTAATGGCCTCAAACCAAGGGGATCTGTGGAGGGAGGGAAGGAGGGTGTGATTCACCTGTTTTTAAACAAACACAGAAAGACAGCAGGTTGCTTTTCTTGCACCAGCACAAGTAATGGTGTGGGGAGAATGCTTTGGGCACCAGGGTGTCTTCCCAGGCAAGTACTGCTGGGGGATGAGTGAAGAGGGCTCAGTACCTAGAACCAGAGTACAGAAATTTGATTTTCAGCTGGGCAGGAAGATGCTGAGCAGAGAAGAGCCCAGAAGTCTCAGTGACAGGAACTCAACTGCATATTTTATAGAGCACATTTAGGGGACTTGCCTTGACCAGGATGAACTTGCCCGTTCAGTGCACCACCACCACAGCACTGGCTGTCCCAAAGGTGACAGTCTGTGGGGGAAGACTGCCCTGTAGCATCACTCTTAACTGAAAGGGACAAGACTTAGGATCTTATTTTCTTATGCAATCTATCTTCTTTTTTCATGTCATCACCTCAGTGTGGCACTGCTGAGTACATCCACAGATCATTCAAGGATCTCCTCTCAGATGTCAGCAGGCAAAATGCTACTTACTCACTCAGGATTGCTGACAGACTTTACATTGAAAAAACATACCCTATTCTTCAGGTGAGTCATACTGTGAACTGACTTCCATGAGATTTTCTGTAATTCCCCTGTGACTCTGCCCTAGAGATGCACCACCAACAGTAGCTCACTCTGTATTGATGAGGAGGTGCTTGTGAGCCATGAGGGGAACTGGAACAGAATGAGTTTGGACTTTTCTGTGCCTGTTAGATGAAGGCAAAAGGTATAATGGCATAAAGTATGTCTAATTTGCAAATCACGGGGAGCAATCAAGATTGCTGTTAATTTACTAGAAAAATGTCTTGTAATTAAAAATGCAATTTTTAAGGGAAATTAAATAAACTTTATTACTTGGAATAATGAAAACTGAAATTGTCAGTTTTTCTAGTGAAAGGAAGCCTTGCTTTTGAAATCTAACAATGCGAGAACACAATATTTAAAATCCTAAAGAGTGAACACAAAGACAAGGAGACAAACATTTTTTGCCCTTAGAAATGTTTGTTAAATCGAAACTGCTTTGGTAAAACAAAGGGAATATATAAAAATTTTAACTTGGAGCCCTGTCTCATCAAAAAGTGCCAGATGTATATATGTGAAGTAGCCTTTTTTGTACAGCTTTAAGATTCAGTTACAGGAAGACAGATGTGACTGACATGTTCAGCATCTGACATTCAAACCCAGGAGTAAACATTCACTGTTCCTTAAACCATTCTGCTTTATTTCACAATCTTGCTTTAGACATCCATATAATTCCAAGTTCTCATCAGTCTGACAACTGTAACCCTCCTGCTTATAGGAATACATAAAGTGTGCAAAGAAATCCTACAAAGCAGAGCTGGAAGAAGTTGACTTCAAAACAGCTGCAGAGGAAGCAAGACAGCTCATCAATTCCTGGGTTGAGAAAGAGACAAATGGTAAGGACTGAAAAATGAGAAGCAGGCATTTTCCCTCACTCCCCATAAACTATTGTCTTCCTCTCCTCATAACCTCTAAAAAAAGGGGCCAAGCAAGTGCAGGTTGCTTATTACTATGAAAATTAAACTCCACAAAGCAGGAACCCCCACCCTCACCCAGTCACAGAGATTTGTGCACACCAGAGGAGCTGTATCTTAGCTCTCTCTGTCTGTCTCTTTCTTAAAGGACGGATCCAAGACATCCTTGTGTCAGACTCTGTTGATCTCAATACCGTGCTGGTCTTTGTGAATGTCATTTACTTCAAAGGGATATGGAAAACTGCATTTAAAGAAGAACACACTCGGGAAGAGCCTTTCAACATGACCGAGGTAGGAGGGCATGGACACACCTCTGGCAAGGGCAGCTGTTGGCTCACACAGCCAGGAGTCTGGGTGCCACAAATACCTGTCACAGGTTGGGTGATTTATCTGAGTCCATCTTTCCAGTGAGGAACCTAAAGCCAATTAGTGTTCGCAAGATTTGTGTCTGAGCAGGCTTCCAAGGCACACAAGCAGGCAAGAGAGGAAAATGGAGACACAACTCCTCTCCAAAGGCAGCAGGATTGAAGATGGAGTCCTGTCCTTTCAAAGGCCTTGTACGTTTGTCTGACCAAAGAAAAAGATTGCTCCCACATCACACCATCTCACATTTTTGTTTTTGCAGCAAGAGAGCAGACCCGTGCAAATGATGTGTCAGAACGGCACCTTCAGAGTGGCAAGAGTGGCTGAAGACAAAATTAAGGTCCTGGAGCTTCCATATGCCAGCGGAGAGATGAGCCTGCTGGTGATGCTGCCTGATGACATTTCTGGCCTGGCACAGGTATGGCCCTGGCAGGGCAAGCAGAAGAGTTATGGCTTCAGGGGGGCTTGACTGCTGTCAGACCTTTTGCGACCCTTTGGCACCAGTGGCTGCCCACCCCACGGCTGTGCTGGGCAGGCAGGGGAGCACAAAATCTGCCCAGGTGCTCAGGCAGAGCCTTTTGGGAGAGTCCTGAGCTCAGTTTTATAGAATGAAGGTAAAGCAGTGTAGTGCTGCTGCAGACCTGCAGAAGAGGATGTTGCTATGTGCACCAGTCTCCATCGGGTATCAGAGGCAAGGAAAGTAGCAGGATTTTTGTCACCGTGAGTGATTTCAAATGTTTACTAAAGATGAAAATTTTATCCTAGGGGAAATAAAATTGAAAGTGAGGAAGAAAGCATTCCAAGAACTGACTAAAAGGAAAATGATAAAAGTAACATTAGAAATAAAGTTGTGGAAAGGGATCAGTAAAATATCTTCCGAGAGGAGCAGTTATAGAGGAAATTTGATCTGATGTTTTCAAAAACTGTACTTTTGCAAAAAAGACTTGATTTGGTGAAGAAATTTTCAGACGAAAAATGTTTGAGGAACTTCCTCAAGACAGACAGATTATATAGGCTCCATAGTCAGGAGGAAGCACACAGGATTAACAAGTGCATTTAAGAGCAAGTATCTTTCCTAAAGTAAATGGAAAAAGACAGTAACAGGTGCTAAAAACACAGCATAAGGCTCTTGAACTTTTGTCTCAGACATTTAATCCCTGCTTCTCTTTGCAGCTTGAGAATAAAATCAGCTATGAAAAACTCCTGGAATGGACCAGTCCCAAGGTGCTGGAAAAGAAGAAGGTGAAAGTGTACCTCCCACGCATGAAGATTGAGGAGAAATATAACCTCACATCTGTCCTGACATCCTTGGGTATGACTGACCTGTTCAGCCCCTCGGCCAACCTCTCTGGCATCTCTTCAGCAGAGGGCCTGAGGGTATCTGAGGCTGTCCACAAGGCATACATGGAAGTCACTGAAGAGGGCACTGAGGCAGGTGGCTCAGAGGATGTGACTGGGGACATCCAACATTCCTCTGAATTTGAAGAGTTTAGGGCTGACCACCCATTCCTTTTCTTGATCAAACACAATCCAAGTGACATGATCCTCCTCTTTGGTAGATATTGTTCTCCCTAAGGAGAAAAAGGGTTGGAAATAATGCTTGCCTACCCCTAAGAAACAGACCTCCTTTATTCTAGTACTGTAGTATTATCTCATCTCTTCACTATCTTTAGGTGGAAAGCCATTAATACCTAGGGAGATATTCCTGAAGAAATGTGTGACTTTTCAGATCTTTGGGTGCAGATATTTCTGCTTACACAAGTTGTACTTAGGACCTATATCCAGGAATAAATGAGAACTTCAAGAGGTAGCTTAGAAGTATTTTCCATTGGGATTGAATAACTTGAGATTCAGGACCAGTGTTTTGATTCTTGTGAGAAATTCTGATATTGAGAGTCTGGTTTTTCTACAGGAGTTCTCTGAAATAAACACGGCTTTTAGAATAATCCTGTTCCCCTCTGTTAAACTTGTTGGGCAACCATCCTTGAATTGATGCCTAGACAACTTGCAGATGAAATTCTTAATTTCAGCAAATCATTCTTCTTTGAGTAATGCATTTGTGCTTCTTTGTTCTGCACATACTGTAAGGCTAAGTTGTTGTTCTGAGGGGGCATACAGAAGGTTTACCATTTCTTCTTAAATCATCATCTCCAAAGACAACACCTTCCTGACTGATACAATTTACCATCTTCATTCCTGTGATATGTCATTGATTTTGTGAATGTCAATTGTTGGTCCTTCTATTTATTCTAATAAAAGCATTGCAAACTAAACATGTCTCTACCTGTTCCGTGTTACTGCACCACACAACCAAATTATATGATATAGTGGGTTGTGGTTATTGACAGAATGCATTTAGACTAGAAATAGATACTATTTTCAAAACCAGAATGTATCCATATATAAATTCATTCAAGAGCTTAACATTTTTTTCCCTAAAATTCTGAATTTAAGTAAGGTAAGCCCTACAGCTCCTATTTTTACCTTGCACTCATCTCCCTGTGACATAACAAATAACTCAGTTTTTTAAATCTGCAATTGGATTTCCACATAGTTTTAAAAGAGTTCCTCTAAGAGTCCTCAGGAAATACAATGAGGTGATGCCTAAGAGATACAACTTCAAAAACATGAGGAAAGGTTGGTTGCTATTTTTCTTAAAAGGTGGACTGCTTCAGCTGTCTAATACCCACAAAAACCATGCGAGAAAATCTTTGTTACTGCCTTTAGATAACATAATCCCCTAGAGATATTATTTCCTATTTCAGAGTCTTTAGGGGGAAGGCTCTTCAGGTTGCAGTTTATCCAATTAAAAGATTTTAATGTTAATGTTAATCATTCGTTCTGCTGGCATACACATGCAGAACTGCAAGTCACAGTACTTAAAAAGTGCTTAGAAAAGGGAGATGCTTGGCAGTATTTGGAGCTGTCTCAAACATTTTCGAAGTAAGTATTAAATATAACTTGAAATGAAGATGCTGACTACAGGGAAACGTATCTTGGCTGCTATGAAGCCTATGGAAGTACTGAAAATCCCTTCTGTCTTCCCAGGACAGTTTTAAGGGATTAGACACAGTTAACAGAAGTATTCAAGTAAAAATGTGTTCTTATTTATGCTATTTCAAGGATTTCTAAGTTTTTATGTTCTGCTTCCCTTAAAACCTAAGACAGCCAAGAGAATTTTGCTACAACTAAAAAAGAAAAGGGTGGGATTTATAAAATACCCTTCTAAGAAGCAGAGAGTGAAAGTTTATAACAATTATAGATCTGTTATTAGACTGAAACAAGCATATCTGACACTCTGCACTTTCTAGGTATAATGAAAATGAAATTAATTTTTAATGAATTATAGAACATGAATATATAAAAAATAAGTCTCTTGTAATTGTTCCTTTGCTTGATGACTATTTTAAAGAAGAGAAATGGAGAAAATAAATGGTAATGAAATGAAGATGAATGAAACGGTAAATGATTTCCTAAAACTACATATGAGAGAGGTACACTTAATGTCCTCACTGTGAAACAGAACTATTTGAGTAATTTTACACTGGGCCATTAGGTGTCACTAGGGATACAAAATGATGTCTCAAGTCTTCTGACAGAGAAGTTTTCAGACCTGTTGAAAACTAGGTCTGGGAGCTTAACATAGGTTCCAATTCCGTTCTTAATTTTTGTGCAAGCAGATGATTATGATCAATATACTGAAACTGTAAACCAGTGGTACTGGGCTTGAAACTCAGTAATTTTTTGAAGAAAAGACAGAACTATTATTTGGTGAAAGATCAGAGGCATTTTAAAATGCCTCTGTGTCCTGGAAAAAAATATCATGGTCAGACACTGTAGAATGGATGTAGCTGTTTTGTTTATGAAAGGAAACTATCCTCTGTAGAGGCTAAAAGGAGAGGTAGAAGTGCAGATTCGGCGAGGCTGAATAAGATCCATACCCCGTATCAATTGCTGGGCCCAGTACTGCACTTGTGCAGTGCTGCTCTGGGCTGGCAGGACCTGCTGCAAAGGCTCTGCCATGGCCAGTGTGGCTGCTGCAGCTCCCATGGAAAGCAATTCTGAAAAGATCAGCGTGGAGGGTGTTACAAAGGGATAAGGGAAGAGCAGCTATGAGGAGAGCAAACTCCGCCTGCCTTTTCCTGGCTCTGAAGTCTAGTAAGAGTTTAATAACACGAATCCCAGCTCCAATAAAGTCCTGCAGCCCTTGTTGCTCCCTGGCAGCATCATTGAAGCTGTTATGTCAATGAACTGCTGTATGTCCATTCACTACAATCCATTTCACATGTTGTTCTGGATTTACTGTACTGCTAGGGGTCCATGGAACAAAACCAGACACACACAGGACAGCATTTGACATACTGTGTGAACTAAGTGTGCCTTTCCTTCTTATGTCATTTGGGGAAGGGCTGGAGGTGACATATCTTCCCTGCCCTTTGGGGAATATAGATTTCTGAGACCATTCCACATACCTCTGCATAAATTACTTGTAAGAGAGGTCTGCTGTCTCCTAAGCAAACTAAATCCATGGCTGAAAGCACAAGATTTAGCAGGCATTATGCTGTAACCATAGTCAATAGAGGTAGTGCAGAGAACCCCCTGGACTCCAGGGCAGAGCTGACCTGGGCTCCAAAATGGTATTTGAGGAAGAACAGCATGCTGAATCAAACTGAAAGCTATATGTCTGCTAGAAAGCCTTTGACACAGAGCAGGGCTTTCTGTTTCCCGTGGCTAGTGAGCTAAGATTTATCAAAAGGGAAAAGGGACAGCAGAAAGGGGATTGTCACAAAGCAGCAAGGGTGGGGCAGCTTGGCAAGGAAAGGGCATACACAGCAGGAGGTGACAACAAGACCAGAAGGGCAGGCGCTTTCCCCATAAGATATTAGATGCTGCAGCTCCCTACACTACTGCGACAGTCTAGTGATTGCCAAACAAACCTGTGGGAATGAGGTAGGTCAAATATCCAGCCTGCAGGCTAAATCCACAAACCAGGGTCTGTAGTGCTACTAACCAGAACACTATTGTACATTGAGGAGCTAGTGACCACATAAAAATGGATCTGATCAGCTGATCAGTGTGTGCAGTTTTGTGTTAAGTTATGCTGCGCACACTGGTTACTATCAGGGACTACAGAGTGCTGAACACACCACGTGGCTGGGGGCTAAACTTCATCTGCTTAATCATAATGGAGAACCTCACAGATGGTCCCGAAATGGCACCCTGTGATGATGCTGCTGGCTTATCCTTGCCTTTATCTTGAAGTGAAGAGGCAGTTTTCTGTATACTTTCGTTCATCAGTAGAACTGATAAACAGTACTTTTACTATAAAAGTGTAAAGATCACACCACTAGTGAAGCTCTGCATGCATGGGATATGCAGTGTGCTGTTGCCTGAATAAAGATTCATCCAATGCTGCACCGCTTTTGGATATGACCACTGGAAGGGACATGAAATTGTCCATGCTCTCTCCTTTCCCCCTCTCATGTCATTTCTAATAAAATGCACTTTAATAATTTTCTTACTAGTGTTCAAAATCAACACCTGCAGTGTCCATCTTGCTGAGGTTCATGGACAGGCAAAGGCATGCAAACAAGCAAGGGTCTGTCAAGAGACTCACTTAAATTCTTCTTTTGAGTGAGGGGGATGTAGACCCCCATGGAGGCATGTCACAGCTCTGCCACAAACAGTGCCCTGATTCAAGGCTTGGAAGCTGTTTTGCGTGTCCCTGAGACCATGCAGTCAAACTCTCAGGAGAGGGATGATCTCAAGAGCAGAGATTTCTGAAGTCCTGGGTGTTATGGAGGCAGTGACAGAGGTTGGCTATTTGGTATCTCTTCTGACACAGGAACTTCATGGCATTAAAAGAGGTTAGCAGAAGCAGATAAAAAACCCCAGCACATATAGGTAGCTGAGAACAAACAGCTGAATGATGGAATTAAGGGTCAAAGAATGTGGAAGATTATAAAATTTCACATGATTTTAAAGGGAGACTGGACAAAACCATGGAAGAGAAATTGGTTGAGAGGTAATAAATATATAGAAAATACCACCAGCTATTTAAGTTCCAGGACTGACAAGAGAGCCAGTGTTAGGACCCTGAGAGCACAACCAGCTGCAGCAGGAGATTTCCCCAACACCCTCTGCACATGGGTCTGGAGCCTGTATTGGGTGCTGGCACCATTTGAGAGAGGAGGACATGAACTGTCCTTGGCCAGTTGCAGCAGACCCTGTAATGAACAAAAAGAACTCATTGTATGCCAAATCTCTGGCCAGAGGAGCATACAGCACCTCTGCTGGAGTGTAATTAAGAAAGAATGGACATGTGACAGACGTACTTCGAGAAACAAAAGAGAGAAGACATGGGGATGTTAATAAGAAGGGGATGTTATAAAGAGCACAGCTGAAGGCACACTCTTGGGAGTCACCTCTGGGGCATTGCAGCCACAGGCAGCTCACGCCAGGGCAGTGACACTCCAGAGGAACTGCAGCCTACTGGTCACTGATGCTGCAGCAAGGACATCCCTGTGGAACTGCAGCTCCTGAAGCAGACTAGAGCACAGGATAAAAGTGAGCAGCAGCATCTGGCAGATATAAACAGTTATACACCAATCACAATTGCTTCCATTGCTTGCTGCTTCAGCAAAGGGACTGATGAGCACTGAGTGTAAAAAGGAAGCTGAAACTAGTAAGCATAAAAGGAGACTTTTTGTATTGTAGTGAAATGTGGGGAAGCAGGATGAAAGGTCTGTTTGTTTCGTAGTTTATTACATCGATTTTCTCAGCTCCTGAATAAACAACAAACATTTAATATTAATCAGCAAGAAATTAAGTGAAATTCCCCAAGTCAAAGCTGTTGCCCACAACAGAAACTTGTTTCAGCCTAGACATAGCACTGAAGTATACTGCAGGTTCCTGTCTCCAGTACCTCCTGACAGACCTCAAAGCCTTGTAGCCTTGTCTCCAGGCCCATCTCTTTTGCTCATAAGTGTATGACAGAGTGCACTAATGAATTTGTAATAGTCTTGCTCACCTATACCTGGAGCCTCTCCCACACCTGTGACCCCAGGAGTTCTAAGCTATGTACTGGACTTTCAGTTCCCACCTGAATTACATCAGTGGTGTATCACTCTCCAGTTCAAACACAGCTGTGCCCATTCCTGGCCAAGGACTTCTAATGTGACCTTGGCCCTGGCTTGTGATCACTGGACCTGGACCTACCTCTGCTGTGTGAATTGACTTTGTGGTCAATGTTGTTTTTGCACCTGCCTCATAG